TTTACTTTAGTCCCTTAACACCTACTGTCATAAATATGCAACAATCCATTCAAGATAGAAGCTGAGATAGTGGCTGCATTCCCCCAGTGCCGGTTAGTGCATCTGCAGGAACCTCCTAAGAACCTTTGGCAAACACTTGTTTCTAGTTGTCGCTATTGTCAAATTAATCATCTCAACTTAATTTACCATCTACTTAAAGGCAAAAACACACACAAAACATTTTTTTTTATATTCATCTATATAAATTCAGGTGTTAATGGGTTTTTAAGAGTAAGTTCATCTTACTTGGTAAAACCATGGAAACCGACTGTCTTGAACTGAGCAGGTAAATGTTACTTATATACACAAGTTAGAGTAAAACAGGTTCTATTCTACAATAATGTCATTTAGATCTGCATCAGGTATAAGGATTTGAATATTTATTAGTTTTTGTGAAAAACTGTAGAAAAACTTAACAATAAAATAATAGAGTTCAGTCATTCCATGTGAACTCAACCAAGACCCCCGCACTTAGGAAACAAAAAAATGTTGAATGAAATCTGAACAGCACAGACTGAATGAACAGAGGGAGGATATAGAGACTGAATTAACAGAATCTGCAATTGGTAAGTAAGGTCTACTTATTGGATTTTACAGTGTAGTCTGTCTACATCTCTAAAGCTCAAATGCTCTGTTCCACCTTGTGATGTCATGAAGCGGTAGTTTAACTGTAACTGTTTTTACCTTTAGTTCAGTAGAGATTGTAATTCCAGGGCTGAAATCATCCAAATGATTCTGGTGAAGGGGTGTGGAGCAGAGGTGGGGACTTGCAAGTCATGACTTGAACTTGAGTCAGACTTTAGTCACTATGTTTAGGACTTGAGACTTGACTTGATGAAATGGACTAAGACTTGGGACTTGACTTGGATTTCAAGCTCAATGACTTGGGACTTGAGGAGGACTTGACTTGAGAAGACTTGATGCTTCTCCTAATTATATATATATATATATATATGTTTTTAGAAAAGACTTTTCTCTTTACACTTGATAAATGTGGTGTTAAATTTTACAGGAACAAACTGAGATACCATATCATCAAATATACTACAGTAATATACAGTACAATAGAGTAATAAGGAGTACAACATAGTATGTACAGTACAATAAAGTACAATACAGTATATACAGTACAATACAGTCAAACAGAGGGAACTACAAAGAACATGATTCTTTCATTTCAGTGCAGACAAAATAACCACAATTTAAAATCTGAATTCTTTCTATTTGCAGTGATTCGCACTAAGATCTTGTCAAGACTTTTAAAAAGGAAAAATATGCATTTCTACAACTCTTATATAAATACTCAAATATAAATACACCGTGAAGTCTAAGCTATATTTGGTTCTTTGGTTTAAGACTTGAAATGACTTGAAGCTCAAAGCAGATGACTTGGACTCGACTTGGACTTACCTGTCTTTGACTTGGGACTTGACTCAGACTTGAGGTCAAAGACTTGAGACTTACTTGAGACTTGCAAAACAAAGACTTGGTCCCAACTCTAGCATGGAGTTTAAAAACACAGTGGAGCACTTGCTGTATCACCACATGACATCACAAGGTGGAACAGAGTGTTTTCTGTTTGAGATAAAAATGCAGGGTTTGTGTGTTAAACATGTGTGAATGAAACAAAACACAACTCCAGGTCTGTTTGTGATGAGGAAACTACATTAGAACACAGATCAGAAAATAGTGTCATGGGCCTTTAAATGTGTCTCCATGGAAATGTTGTTCTTGTGGCTGTAATATTCCACAGTACAGCATTAAACGTATATATATCTCCATGGAGAAAGTTCCAAAGTATGATTTTTTTTTTTTTTATTATATCAAACTGGGTTCAAACTTTTTATTTCTATTGAATCATACAGAAGACGTGCCACCTCCAGAATGCCAGAATACCTTTAAATAAAAAAAATTATAAAAATAAAAAGAATATGAAAATTCATTTTATCTCATTAAGAAAGAATTCTGCAGTGCATTTTTTTCTTCCCAGATAATCCCCTTATTCTCACAATCGGTTTGACATTGTTTTATTTCTGAGCGCGTTTGTTTTTTAGTTGTTTCGTTTCCATGACGTCAGCGCCTCAGACCCAGGGCCAAAGGGAAGGTCATGAGAAATATTTACAACAAGCTCCGCCCCCTGTGTGCAGAGCCAGGAGCTGCAGGTGTACACAAGAAACACAAGATTTAAACGAAAGGAGAAAGAGAGAGGGAGAGAGAGAGGAGGCAGAGGGGAGGAGGGAATGGGAGGAGAAAGGAGGAGAGGAAGAATGAGAGGAATAGAGAGAGAGAAGATAGAGGAGAGGAGGAGAGGAGAACATAAAGGAGAGGAGGAAAGGAGAGAGAGGAGAAGAGGAAAGGAGACAGAGGAGAGGAGGAAAGGAGAGAGAGGAGAGGAGAAAAGGAGAGAGAGGAGAGGAGGGGAGAAGATAGAGGAAAGGAAGGATGAGGAGAGGAGGAGAGTAGAGTGAAAGAAGGACAGAGAGAGGAGAAGAGGGGAGGAAATAAAGGAGGGGAGAAAAGGAGGAAATAAAGGAGAGGAGGAAAGGAGAGAGAGGAGCAGAGGGGAGGAGATAGAGGAAAGGAGGGATGAGGAGAGGAGAGAAGATAGAGGAGAGGAGGAAAGGAGAGAGAGGAGAAGAGGGGAGGAGGAAAGGAGAGAAGAGTGAGAGGAGTAGAGAGGAGAAGAGGTAAGGAGATAGAGGAGAGGAGGGATGAAGAGAGGAGAGTAGAGTGAAAGAAGGATAGAGAGAGAGGAGAAGAGGGGAGGAGATAGAGGAGAAAGAGGAGAAGATGAAATAAGACAGAGGAGAGGACAGAAGAGGGGGAGGAGAGGAGAAGGAAAGTTTTTGTTTCCATGGAATCCTGCAGGTGACTTCTAGAAGTTCAGGAACCTTTCAAAGTTCTCAGTGTTGCGTTTGTGGTGGGAAGATCAGCAGCTGCTTGTCTCCGTGGAGATAGTGTAACACTGCAGTCAAAACTCAAACATCTCCATGGAGCAGGTGGTGGATCCTGCAACAGAAAAGTTAACACATACGTCAAGTCTAAAAATAATACTTTTACTCAAGTACAAGTCTGTGAAATGTTTTATAATGAGCTGAAGATGATGTGATGAGAATAAAAACACTGTCTTCAGACAATAGAATGTGATTTTCAACATTAAATCATAGTGCTTTCTTTTCTATTCCCATGTGTGTGATCTCTCAGTGGTCCAGATGGTTCCATAGTGGTCCATGTGTGTGTACTAGTCTATGTGCTCTTATATTTGTTCTGATCCAGCTCCAGATCATTCTGAAGACATTCAGGAAAGACTCTCCTCTGTCTTGTCAGTGGGACTTTTATCGTACTGATCAGAGGTGGGACCAAGTATTTGTTTTGCAAGTCTCAAATAAGACTCAAGTCTTTGTCCTCAAGTTCAAATCAAGTCCCAAGTCAAACACAGGCAAGTCCAAATTAAGTCTTGAGTCACTGGTCCATAAATCCAAGTCAAGTCCAAGTCATCTGCTTTGAGCTTCAAGTCATGTCAAGTCTTTAAACCAAATATAGGTTAGATTTTTGCAATTTACATGAATTTTAAATTAAATTGTACTTAAAAGTCATGGTATATTTATATATGAGTATTTATATAAGAGTTGTAGAAATGCAAATTTTCCTTTTTAAATGTCTTGACAAGATCACAAGTGTGAATCATCACGGTCAGAACAGAAATAATCCAGATTTAAAAGTGCTAAATAACAATTATTTTATCATGTATTCTGCACTGAAATGGAAGGATCATGTTCTTTGTAGTTCCCTCTGTTGTACTGGAGTGTACTCTATATTACTTTACTACTGTATAGTACTGCATATAATGTATTATACTGCATTGTACTGTATATTACTGTAGTACATTTAAGGATACCATATCTCAGTACTTCAGTTCCATCCGAAGTAACAGAGAACTGGGAGGGGCATGTTCCAGTTTGTTTCTGTAAAATCAAGCACAGCATGTATCAGCTGAAAAGAGAAAAGTGTTTTTTAAAAATATATATGTATTTTAAAAGAAGCATCAAGTCCTCTGAAGTCACAGGCCTCAAGTCCAAGTCCAGCCACAAGTTTAGTCCATTTATTTTAGTGTAAAAATAAAACACCTCTGTGTGTTATCTGTTTACTCTCAAAACATTAATATAACTCTTGATTTCGGGGTTAAACAGGAACTTTGGTCCAGTGTTATTTAAGTAACCTTTCCAAAAATGTTAACTTAACTCTAGAAAAGATTGGACTCATATAAACCCTGAGAAAATGTTGATTCTGTAAGAGTCAACTTTAACATTTCACATTTTGCTGTGTGGAGAATCGATCTCGCACACAGAACAAATATTATATCTTTAAGCAGTAAATAAGACCTGTAGTGTTTAGACAGGCTGGGCAGCAGATGGTGGAGCGTTCGTCCACTGATCTGGTTGACAGTTCAAATTTCACTCTTGACATAAACATCATTGTGAGTGGTCAGATCCACTGACCCACAGGTTGGATGGTGTGATTCCAGCTCCCACAGATGAATGCTGTTGTTGTGTCCTTGGGCAAGACACTTATCCCACCCTGCCCCCAGTGTCTGTGTACACTGGTGTGTGAGTGTGTGTGTGTGTGAATGAGTGGTTCCTTGCTGTAAAGTACTTTGTGTGCCTTGAAGATGGAAAAGCACTATAGAAAAATGTGACCATTTATTGTGGACAGTTTTAACTAAAGCATTAAAATCTCCATGGAGACAAAAAGACTGCAGAACATTACACAGTGCATCTTAAAATGTGTTCTTTTCTTGTGTCACTGTAGTTTCAGACCAGAGACCAGGACAGAGCACGTTTTGAGCTGTTTATAGGAAAAAGGAAATCTGTGTCTGTTTATCTCTGAGACCCGTATAAAGTGGAGTGGTATGTGACTGTTAAAGAAGAACTGTGAGGGCCTCGGGCTGGTTTACGCTTTACCTGCGCTACATCGCCCTCTGCTGGCAGGTCCATGTCAATGATGGCAATTTGCTTCTATGAAAGTGAAAGTTTCTTTTATGACAGTAGGAGACAGGTGTTCTCATAATTTACACACTCACCTTTATTTAACACATCCCACTCACTCATGTTCATTTAGCATCAGAACTTATTTTATCAACAGTGCTGGCTAATGCTTGCAACCTCATGTAAACCGCACAGACAGTGGCATTTTCTGCACTCAGGCTGCACGCACATCTACTGTGTTTACAAACCATAGACCGTATATACGAATGGAACAATGTGCCAAACAAATAATCCATCCATATATTCGCCACATTGTTGTATAAGTCGCAGGGTTTAGAGGCTTATAGTCTGGAAATTACAGTAAGTAGAAAATAATCAGTTGGTCAAGTAGCTCACAAAAACCTCAGTAGTTGTGGAGCCAAGAGTTTTACCGAGTGTCGGACGAAAACAATCTGGCAGGTCTTTAGTGGTCAGGTAATTTGATCGACACTACTGAGAATCACAAGTCCCAGGAGACACAAACACACACACGCATGCACACTACACGCACACACACAAACACACACACAGGCACATGCACACACACACGGGAAAGGAGGGAGGGGAGCACTCGATCCCACACCAGGACATTCCAGATAGGACAATCGGTGTCGGCGGCAAGGTGGGGCATTTGAGGGCCGTGCCTCCCCTAGCGGCCACTGGTGCCCCACCCCCAGCACAGGCCGTTATTATTACTATTTTTAAATGATTTTGATTGGCGCATTTCACTTCGGGCTGAGGGCACAAACTTTACTGTGACATCAATGACATCACAGTCTCTGTTTATTTAGTGTAATCTGATTGGACAACTGTCCTGTCACTCACGTCACATCACGTCAACCTGCTGCGTCAACTTGTAGCAGCTTCACGATTAGCGGCAGCTGCTACTTTAGCCTAAAGCTCCACACAGGAAATGGCGAGAACAGAGTCAAAGACCCACGGACAGACCCGCCGCCGGGACCCGGGACTGTCGCTACCGCTGCTGGGGCCGGGACATTCTTTGCCGGGACTCGAGACAGTCGCCGCTTGTTACGTTGTGTTGATGTGTAAAGTTTGAGCTTGGCTGTTCATTGTGCTCTGATCGATATTTTTCAGCCAATAGTAACCAAAATGTCTGTTTCTGGTATTTGTTATAATACTACAGCCTATATATATAATATATATATATATATATATATATATATATATATATATATATATATATATATATATATATATATATATATATATATAGGCCTTGGTGCCATTCCCAAGAATTATACCACCAGCTGCCACTGGTCCTGGTTAAGTCCTGGTTTAGTCCCGGTCCCTCAAGTCTCAGGTCTCTATAGGACAGGACAGGACTGGACGGCGACTCGCGTACCACGTTCACTACAGCCCTGGTGTTGTCCGATGCGTGGCTAGTTCTAGTTCAGAGGTGTTTTTGAGGAGAGGCTGTTGTTTAATGTTTACAACCAGTGGCAGGACTTATTGTTTTTTAATAAACCTCAACCTTTTATTATTGTCTTGTGCGCGTATCGTCTACCACACAGCCTCAACAACTATTGCAGCTAATAATAATAATCAATTTTAATATAATAATGATTATAATAACAACACATAATTAGCCTAATACTGTTAAAGAAAAACGTGTTTGATAGCATGTCTGCTGTGTATGACTCCACCGCGTTAAAATATTTCTCAAATGGCAGTGCCCCCCCTGCTGGTGACCCACGCCCCTCCAGTAGATGTGCTCTGACGCCGACTCTGAGGACAATAATATCTCCATGGAAACATGCAGGAAGTGGACCCTCCACCAGAAAAGTTACACAGCTCACCTTTAATCTCACTCAATAGGCTCTATTCACACTTGCATCACAAATCAGGAAGACGTTTGGAAACATGCGATTTCAACTTCCGGCGGGTTCTGTTCTAAGAAAAATGAGAACATGTCCCAGTTTTCTTCATCTCCATGTCATTGTAGTGTTCCGTTATGTTTGGCAAATCAACAATTCCAACCATACCTCATTTTTTAGAGGTCGCCCAGCGATTAGAAGAGATGAGGCGCCAAACTCCAGATGATACCAAAAAGCACATATGTCTGCTGTCTTCATTTTACCACTGATCACATTTACTTCAGTGGGTTTGGTCACCGTCGGTCGGCGAGCCCAGTGTCGGGAACTACACCGGAAGACGTCATCACATCTTTCCAAACATCTTCCTGGTTTGGGACGTAAGCGTGAATAGAGCCTACTAAAATACTAAAGAAAAAAAGCCAACATTTACACATTTTCATCATTTATTTGTATACATGTCATAAGAAAGAAAAGTTAATTCAAAATATACAACACTGTACACATTTAGACTTAAAATACAAACCGGATGACAAAATAACGAGACTTTTAAATACATAGATTCTTCATAAATTAATGAACACTCAGAAAGAAAAAAAAAAACAAAACTCAGAAAACAGAAAAAGTAGGAGGTACATTACCAAAAGTTTGACTGAAAAAGCTCTTTTGGGTTTCTAGCAGGGACAGAGTTATGTTCACTTAAATACAGAAAAAAAAAAGAGAAAAATGGAAGAGAAACAGCTACATGCGGCGCAGCAGTTGGTAAAGACATTACCCACTAACCAGAAGCTCGGTAGTTCAGTTCCAACTACAGCCATTGCATACTGTTGTGTCCTTGGGCTAGACACTCCGGCTCGTTTAAGTGGATCAGCTGAGTATATGTGCTTTTCTCTGGCGTTTTTGGCGGAAGCAGAGACCGTAGGTGCAGAACGGCAGCTTTGTTTCTGTCAGTTTGCCTCAAGGCAGCTGGTGCAGGACTAAAAAACCCACCCACATGTTTCACGCGAATTCCTCATATAAAACAGTCACCATATTATTTTTATTTCTATGAGCAATTTCTAGCTTCGTTCAAATGACTAGAAACTAACTCTCCTCGCCACAAGAAGGTTCACGGTTCAATTCCCATGTGAGGTCGTTCTGGGAGTTTGCGTGTTCTCCCTGTGTCGGTGTTTTTCACTTTGTTAAGATGGTAAAAATCCGGTACAGAGTCTTTAATGGCATTTACAGGCGCGGCATTATCATCTCCATGGTGACAAGCAGAAAAGTTACACAGTATATCGCTCTTTACCTCACTTGTTAGGAGGTCAGTACCCATTAACTAGAGGGTAGACAGTTCAAACTCTGCTTAATCAAACCTCACCTCCCTCTTGAGATGTGCATCAATAAAAAAGTCTGAACAGCTGTAAGGTCTTTCTCCTCCAACTCTGATGATGATCCACAGCTAAAGATCTGGGTCCCCATCTCTCCTGACAGAGAACAGTTGTCTCCATGGAGATGTTATTGCTTTGCCTAAAATGTTCCACCGCATGGCATTAAACTTCTTTAAACTTACAGTGACGGCAAAACTCTGCTCTTCGTTTTAAAAAACACTTTAACTGCAAATTAAGTTAAAATGAGTTCTGTTATTCACTTTTTAAGATGGTAAAAATGACAGGTAAGACTTTAATATCTCCATGGAAACGCCTGTCCTGATAGGGGACAGTTGTCTCCATGGAGATGTTATTGCTTTGCCTAAAATGTTCCATGACATGGCATTAAACTTCTTAAATCCAGGGTTCCCACAGTCATGGAAATTGAAAATGTCATTTTTCAGGTCTGGAAAAGTCAATGAAAGTTTTGGAAAAGTCATGGAATTTCTTTCATGCAACTCCAGCACTCTGTTAAGTTCTCATTAGGCTACGATGATAATTTCCAAATGTCTGCACCTTTTGTTTAAAAGAGATGACAATAAATGCACTGACAGTATTTTGAATGTTAAAAAACTATAATCCCAAACCATAAGATGGGTGGAAAGGGTTAACATTTCATATTTAACCCTAAAGGTCTGATCAATTCTACACATGTAGGTGCAGTAAAGTCATGGAAAATTCACTTTAGGTCATGAAAAAAATCATGGAAAAGTTTAGAAATTTTGTCAGTGAAAAAGAGTGGACACCGTGTTCATCTTACAGTGATGGAAAAACTATTCTTTGTTTTAAAAAAACTGCAAATTAAATTAACATTAGTTCTGTTTTTCACTTTTTAAGATGGTAAAAATGACAGGCAAGAGTCAGGCATTGACATCTCCATGGAGACAAGAAGATATCCGCCACCCAACTGAAAAGTTTCACAAGTTTACAAGTTGACTTCACTTGTTAGGGCGTCTGTATCACAGTTGGTTAATGATTCACACATTGTACATATGAATAATGTCTCTTGAGATGGTGTATTAGTATGAAGGTTTTGCCCCAGTCAGTACAGCTGTAAGGTCTCTCTCTGTAAGGATCTGATATGAGTAAATTAAAGTCCTCTTTAGCAGTACAGTGACAGCAAAACTCTCTCTCTCCATTAGATCTGTTTTTCACATTTTTAAGATTATAAGCGTTATACCAGATTTTGTACAATGATAAAAACATGACACCCAAGGCTTTCAAATCTCCATGGAGACAGACCCCAACAGAAAAGTTACATCATGTTTACTGTAACCTTATTTTTTGTTGGCAGGGCATCACTTTCACAGTTGGTAAAGTGTTCACTCACTAACTGAAAGATAACAGGTTCAAATCTCATCTACCCATTGTACGTGTGAATAATAGGGATGCAACGAAACTGTTTTCCCACAATTCGATACACAGGTCGCAATATTGATTCAATTTTGTAACGTTTCAAGATGTGGAAAAGAAAAATCTCATGTAATTTTTTTCTGCTAATGACTATAATATAATAACAGCATCATGTTAATGAAACATACATACATTACACACAAAACACTACAGTACAACTACTGTTACAGCTGTAGTTTACATGTGAAGTGTTTTAGTTCATTTGGTTCAATGATTCACAGGATTTTTATTCAGTAAAAATAAGAACAGAGCTTTCTAGGACTATTTTATATTTCATAATAGAGTCAGTCTCATCTTAATATAGACTGGTAGGGAAGCTACACTATCAGACTTTTCCTTTTTTGATGATGATTTGGTGATTTCTTTTCCTCCTAAGTCTCGCTGCCTTCACACAGACTCCTGTGTCGGTGCTGCTCTGCCTCGTCTCCAGCAGCAGCAGAGACAGACAGTAGCTCCTCCCACACTGTCCTGTTACAGTCTCTCTCATCTCCTTTCTGAACACTCAAACTAGATTACATTACAAGGAAATGTGTCAACAGATCATTTTCTGAGTAAAACTTATGAAATAGAGTCTAAGAAAAAGATTGCGTATATTGCGTGTCCCGTTGCAGGTGTGTATACAAGCACATTTGATTAAAGTCGATGTAAAGCCAAACGCGATTCTTAAGTGATTAAAAGTTCATACCTTTGTCATTCCTGAGTCTATCAACGTAAAATAAAAACTGTCTGAAAGCTCAAACCCTCCTCTGTTAGAATATTTCAGCTGTAAGTCCCTACAGAGCTGTTTTCTGCTGCACCTGAGGAGGACGCTGCAATAACAGATAGATAAACAAAATAAATGACAGCACAGCGCACATGGAGGGACATGTTCATATCGACCGAACGCGTTTATCGAATCGTGACACCAGTATCGAATGATATGGTATTATATCGAATATCATTGCATCCCTATTGAATAACTTTATGCCTCTTGAGATGGTGCAGAGTCTGAACAGCTGTAAGGTCTCTCGTTTTTTAAGACAGAATTGTGGAACATTGCAAAGCATTCATATCTCCATGGACACAAGCTGACGGGCTTCCCAACAAAAATGTTACACAATGCACTTTCAAGTTTCGCGGCCTTATTTTTCTTTTTTGGTGTATTTCAAAGCCAGTTAAGCGTTCACCTATTAACTGGAAGGTAACCAGTTCAAACCGCGTCTACCCACTGTACGTGAGAATAATCTTATGCCTTTTCAGGTGGTGCATTAGAATAAATGTCTTGCCAAACTATGAACAGCTGTAAGATATGTCTCGATTAGTTCTGTTTTTCACATTTTTAAGATGAAAACGTCAGGTAGAGCTGTTTTAATGCTATACTGTGGAACATTACTCATAAGTTATTAATATTTCCATGAAGACAAGCAGTTCAGACCCCCTACTGAAACGTCACACAGGTAAATTTACCTTTCACTTGTAACAAGCGTCTGTCACAGTCGGTTAAGTGTTCACCCATTAACTTGAGGGTAGCCAGTTCAAACCCTGTTTATAACGACACATTTTCTGCCCATTGCACGTGTGAATAAGCTTATGTCTCTTGAGATGATGCATTAGTATGAAGGGTTTGCCCCAGTCTGAACAGCTGTAAGGTCTCACTCATTTTTTAAGATACTGTGGAACATTACAAGGCATTAATATCTCCATGGACACAAGCAGACGGGCGTGGCTACCGTATTTGTAGTTGTTAGGGCATTTCAGTTTTCATCCATTAACTGAAAGGACCAGTTCAAACCGCGTCTATCCATTGTACGTGTGAATAACTTTATGCCTCTTGAGATGGTGCATAAGAATAAATGTCTTGCCACAGTCTGAACAGCTGTAAGGTCTCTCTCCGCTGTGAGTCCTCTGGTGCACCCTGAGGCTGCTCTGCTGTGTGAACCTCTTCCCACAGACCGAACAGCCGAATGGTTTCTCTCCGGTGTGGGTGCGATGGTGAATCCTCAAATGGGACGAACACATGAAACTTTTACCACAAACGGTGCACCAAAAGGCTCTCTTTCTCTTGTGACTCTGCTGGTGTAACTTAAACTGGTGTAAACGGCCGAAAGTCTTCCCACACTGCATGCAAGAGTAACCCCGAGTCACTGAAACTGTCTTATTTTGAAAGTTTTGCTGCGAACTATAGCTACTCTGTTCAAAAATATCACTTCCCTGGTTTAAAATAGATCTATCATCACTTTCTCTTTCTTGTAAATGTGTATTGTGCAAATTGTTCGAAATTCCAGCTTGAAAATTTGCCATTTGCGACGTGTCCTTGGAAAATTCACTGTTGAAAACCCCGTTACAATGCGGCTGGACTTGATGGGCGTTGCCGGCTTTAGCCACGGCGTCGGTCTGGTCCGAAAACGTGTTTGAATACTCGTCAACAACGCTAGAAAAATCCGGAAAACTGGAATCTATTTCGTTTCCGTCCATAATTGAAGACCAGAGTTGGCTGTTGCGTTCGTCCATAGTAAAGTCGCTGTTAATATTTGCTGGTTGAGGTTTTCCAGTGCTGTGTTGGCAACTGTCCTGGTTGAATCCTGATTGGTCCTCCTCTTTTTCGGTTTTTACGGTGAAGTTTTGGTTCATGTTGTGGTGGGACGGGTTGTACGAGTGGCTTATGTCCATGTTTTTCTGTGGCGTGGGGACCTCTGTTGGGGTGATTTGACAGTTCTTTTCAAAGCGCTGACTGTCGGAAGCTGAGGTGGTCACAAATTGTATGGAAGAACCTAAAATGGCAAGATTTAGTTAGAGATTTGTTATATAATTATCTGGATGGTCAAAGGTCCATGCTGAGGACTTTTGACCAGTTAAACAATATAAAAGTTTTCATGCCACAATGTGAAAACTTATGTACACAAGGAAATGAGCTCAAAGCATCTGGTGTCAGTGTCCATTAATATGCACTGAATCCCCTTAAAAATAAAAATAATAATTAAATAAAATGAAATCTCACCAGTGCTGTGAGTAGATTCACTGATCCACAGGTCGTCTGGACTCTCCTCTTTTACGGTGAACGGAGCAGAGCTGTTCTCGAGAAGGTCTGGAAACTGAACACAAACGTTAAAAAAAATTGTAATATTGCTTATACCAATTATCCACCTGACCTTCGTAACCAATACCGTATTTTTCGGACTATAAGTTGCACTTTTTTTTCATGGTTTGGGTGGTCCTGCTTATACTCTGGTGTGACTTGTATATTAAAATTCTCACACTGACAGCCGCGAGAGGCTCCAGTCTTGTGTGTCAGTTTTCTGCACATGTCTCCTGCAGAAAAAGCCTCTGTCCTGCTGCACGTAGTGAAATATGCAGCAGAAAACGGTAATTGAGCAGCAGAAAGAAAGTTTGGGAGTGAGTGAGAAACTTGTGAGGGACTGGTAGAAAGTGGGAATGGAGAACACAACTTCATGGCAACCGGGAGGGTACACCATGCAACTTTCCTGGAAGTCACTGGATGACAAAGCCTGGACTTCAGTGACAACTGAAGCTGCGCGGAGTTGCACAGAAGTGACACCGAGGATGAAGAAGTCAAAGGATTCAATAGATTAAGTGATTTGGAGTGAGATTGAGAGTTTGGTAAACTTATGTTCTGTTGTTTATGCTATAGTTAATCTGAATAATTATTAATATGTTATGTTAACATATTAACGCCTATTCAACCTGTTCTTTATTCTATTGTTATTACTAGAACTTGCCTTTCAAGATGAAATATCGATTCCTAGTCCCTGATTTCATAAAATAAATTTCCCGGAAAAAGTGTGACTTTAAGTCCGGTGCGACTTATGTTTTTCTTCATTATGCATTTTTTGGCTGGTGTAACTTATACTCTGGAGCGACTTATAGTCCGGAAAATACGGTAATAACAATCATGTATGTGTGTTTAGAAATTGTAATTGTAATTAATAAAATGTATGTTAAAATATTTGGCAAGCATTCAAATGTACAGGCCCAGAGTATGCTTACTAATGTTGGAAAATATGAGCCATAAAATGTCCCTAAATTTGACTTAAAATGTGAAAAGGCAGAGCTCCATTGGCCCAGCAATTTCCATGAGTATTTGCTGGAGAATTATAAAACAATTGGAGTTTAAACAAAAACTAAAAACTAATTCAGATCATAAATGACAAATATTGGAGGAGTCAAAATACATTTATTGAAATACCTTGATTTCTCCTTGCACAGGTGCACTGGTGTCCAGAGAGATGCCACTCTCCAGGTATTTGTCTGCTGCACAAAGTAAACACACAGCTTTTAGATTCAGTGTAATATAGGGGTGATTCTATAATTCGAGGTACATTTCATGTCTGCTCACTGTATGAACTGTACAGTTATTTCTGGAAAGCAAAGAGAGTTTTTACATTGGTCCATGAGCAATGCAAAAATTTGGTGAACTGTTGACATTATTGATTATTGCAGTATCACTCACTTTATACACTGTAGAGCCTTTTTTATTTGACCGCTTTTCAAATTTCAAAGTTTCACTTAATTTATAATCTGAGTAGAACATTTTGGTTTATATCGAATCCTAAATGTTAGAAAAGACTGATTTTAATGTTTTAAATGTTTGTGCCCATTACTTGTATATTGAAAACTTTCACATATGCTCATATAAAAACTGTTTGTCAAGTGGGTAACGCCTTGGATAAGCTCATAAAACTGCAATGGTTCACTCTAAAGTCACAAACTCAGCACCACAGTGAAGCCTCAGGATTTCTGCAGTGAATCTGAAAACTAAGGTTGAACCCGCTTTTTTAGAAGAATTGTACTGTTTTACTGCTCCTTCAGAACTTTTCAGAGGTCAGCTTGTTGTTAACAAGTATGGAATGATCTTCATAGCAGCAGGAGGTCATGGTGATGTGGGGGTGTCTCACCTCAAATGAGCACAACATCTAAAAATGTTACAAAATCTCAACTGGATACACATCAACTGTGTAACTCTTCCACAGACTCCTTTTTAAAATCAACGTTACCCAGCTGACACTGGTGAGATTTAGTGTCAGTTGTCTTTAGGATTTTGAAGCAGATACATTAATTTGTCTTGCTTTATCTTAACTGTTAAAGCTTTTCCTTTTATGTTCAATAGATTATAGATTTCAACAAACATTTAAAAAATACTCATTATCATAGACAACAGAGTTTCAAATGGATAACATCCACATACAACAAACAAACATACAACTGTACAACAACTCACCTTTATGTCACATACAACACACAATGTTTATGTTTCATGTTTAAAGTTATGCATTAAAATAAGTATCAGTCAAGATCTAATGGATCATTAAACAATCAGAATTCCCCATTTTAAATCCATCACAAAAATGTAATATGTAATTACTTTAGCAAAAAGAAACATAAATTTATCACTTTTTATTGAAATGAAATGTGCTCCTAAATATAGAATCACCCACAGAAGTTATTATATGAGCTTCTAAAGCGATCACTGTAAACATTTCAAACATGACACATTTACACATGTACACAGACTGTATGGCACCAGAGGCAAGTCAGATTTAAATAAGTGTGTTTGTAATAGGCTGTTTAGGAGTAAAATGTAATATTGCTCATATCTTTAATAAAATTATTTGAACGAAGTATATCATGTTATATGTTTGAAACTAAGCAACAACTCTAGGCTATTTTATACTAAAACACCAATATTTCAGAACATGTGACTGAATATATAGTTGACTATTCCACTTAACAGGAAACATGGCCTTGTTCACGCGCACACCAAAACCTGATTATAATCAGATTTCTGGATTTAAAGGACATGTAAATACCATAAACTCATGTGAGTGATATGAGAGAATTTCAGAACAAAAATGCCGTTTACATTTAATTTAAATAATCATATGTCTTCAAAAAGTCTTAAGACCAGACTTAAAGGGGGGGGCTTCTCTGTGACGGGCCCCAAACTCTGGAACACTCTGCCCCCACAGTGGAGAGTTTTAGACCTATTTTTACTCTTACTTTATTTATTTATGTGTAATTAATTTTTACTTTCATACATTTTAACATTATATATTATTTACTGTTTTTATCTATGATACTGTCTGTTATTGCATTCATTTGTTTGTGCAGCACTTTAGAAACTGTTTATCAAATGTACTACAAAAAAAAAAGGTGATTAGGTTAAAAAAAATCTGATTTTGAGTCCGCAGCCAGTGTGTAAACATGAAACCACACCATAACATGACCAACTGACCCCCAGATTCTACAAACCAGGGCCCCTCTACTCTGTGTATTAAGGGGAACCACTATGTAAACAATATATTCCTTTGCCCATCTACAGACGCGTAATTATTCGCTAAAATAACATTAATATCCAAGAATTGTACCGTATCCTTGTTGTAGCAGCGCGTTCTTGCTCTCCGCCGCCTGCAGCCTCCGTTTGAGCATCTCGTTCTCATTTTGCTTTCGGGAGATTTCCAGGTGCAGAAAAGCGCATTTTTCATCCACCAGTTTGGAGATCTGTGCCACGGCCGAACGCACCAGAACCTCCAGGATGGACGATAACTGGCTCTGGAACGGCACGCACGTCGCCATGTTTGCTCATTAAAGTTCCTACGAAGGGAAAAGGCGCATATGAACGTGTTTGCGCTGCGTAAAAGGTAAAACAGCGTCAGAAATGAGGCTCGAGGTAAGCTGAGATTCAGATGTTTTTGTAGAGAGCTCGGGTCTTGCTTCCGTGTGTGGTTTACCGTAATGCGTCACGTAAATACGCACGTCAAATGTAGGACATTACACAGAAGAATTGTATTATAATTAAGACTATCACCTACACATTATTATTGACAATCGACTTAGACAAACTTTATCGATCCACAAGGGAAATTCTTTGGACACAATAGCTCACGCATCACAATATAATCTAATAAGAGTAAAAAATATAAATATAAATTCTAAATAAGTAGCAAAAAAGAGCAAGAGACTGGTGACAAATAAGATATAATTATATAAATGTAAATGTACAAGTCAAAATAAAATAGAAAAATAAGTAATAATATATAAAACCTCAGCTTTATACAAAATTTCATAGGAGGACAGTGCAACAACGATATGATTGACAAGACAGGATTATGTTGCATAAATGTGAGTTGTTGTGCAGTTGTAGGGAGTATTATCTGTTACATAAGGGTGAGATAAACATAACAAAAATAACAATATTGGAGTGCTACACTGGATCAAAAAACGAATGCATACAGGTGCTCATCAAACCGCAGGGCTTAGATTCTTGTAAAGTAGAAAAAAGGATGGCAGAGGCACTCTGATTTGCGGTGAATTTATTAATAGTCACGCCAATGTGTTTTGACTACTTAGACTTCATCAGGGCTGATTGAGTAAGCAGCAGGTGTGACCATTTATAGGGGTCGTGACCCCAGACACGTGATAGTTAAAAAACAAACAAAATTTCCCAAAACATTTACATGTTGAATCCATGTATAATGACAACACACCATTCATAACACAACAGATAAATCACACTGTTCTGTATAAGTTGGAGTATAGTCAACAATACATAATCCCTTAGATTACACAGCACACTTCAAAAATTGTTTTAATTAATCATCAAGAAGAAGAAAGCACCAGTAATTTCGTAACAAAGGTAATGAGAAATACCTGGGTATTTGGTGGCCATTTATCAAGGGGGGGGGGGAACCTGTCCCCTCTTGACAACTGGCAACAATGTGATAATGATGTGGCATGTTAAGTCAGCAATTAAGAGCAGACCTGAAGAGGCTTAATGGTCCCAATAATTATGGACACAGTTCAAATAGTTCAAATAGTTCAAATAGACATAAAGGTGAGTTGTTGTACAGTTGTAGGGAGTATTTTCCGTTACTTAAGGGTGAGTTGTTGTACAGTTGTAGGGAGTATTATAGTATGAATGTAGTCCTGTATCTCTCAGTGTTTGAGTGGAGCTGTAGGAGCCTGTTGGAGAATGAGCTCCTCTGTCCCTCTATAGTTTGCGATCAGTGTCCTGTCCTCCTGCTCCTGTCCATCTCTGATACACCCAACCACTGCAGAGTCATCAGAGAACTTCTACAGGTGGCAGGTGGCAAAATATATTAATTAGAAGAGTGTTCAGGTCTGGGGCCCTAACACCCAAGAAACTGTATGTAGTTATCTAAAATGGAGACTTTGTGTAATTTATGTTTTTTTTCCCCATTATTTTACATATTATACCTGTGTCTATGCAGGTCCCTTCTAGTTTCTAATATGATAAATCCTCTGATAGCAGTCATTCCTTACCAGGATCCATGGCTCTGATCTAGAGATGGGAACCCGGGTACAATAAGTCTAGAAAGTACAACATACATAAATACTTACCAAATCCAAAACATGCACAACAGGCCAAATCCTCTAAAAGCCAAATCAGATGTGACAAAGACGAGCTCAAGATGTGGAGATGGGTCCACTGCTCCTGACAGGTTTGACCCAGAGACACTGAGGCATGAATTCAATGAAGGGGACACATTTTCAGGACAGTTGAGTGCACCTTAAAATTAACTATTAATAGCACACTGTAAATACTAATACTACCAACTGCCGTACCAACTACCTTCATACGTCATCATATGTAGGGCTGATCATTGCATGGAAGATAATGTTTAATCCGGTTTTGAACATCCAGTGCATTTTATCAAACATCTGAAATACTAAGGCATTTAAAATATAAAACTAGGTGAATATAAAAACTACATAAATATAAAAAATATATATATAAATACATAAAGAACACAAAGTCATAGAACAGTTCAGTCAGATTTTATCACATTCTTTTCATTGCACATTCACAGTCAGTTGTTAACACTTAATATCTGAACGTACGAAACAGGTATGGTACAAAACGTATTAAAATCAAGTACAGTGTTTGTCCATTGAAAAGGTAACAGTACCACATGCCATTGAAAAACAACATGAAAACAACGCATAGAAAATGTACTGAGGAGATTCTAGATCCTTCAAGTCCTAAAAATAAAACAAAAAACAACTTAACCATTTCGTACAATGGTTTTGAGCATTGGGTCTGAGGGAGAAGGAAGTCTGGTAGTTCTTTCTTTTTTAAATTGCTACCATTCATGATACTATTTTAATCTGCTTGGCTAAAGGTACACTGTGTAAGGTTTCTGCAGTTCTGAGATTTCACCACCTGCTTGTCTCCATGGAGATGTCTTGATTGAATTGACTGGTCAATACAGCGTCTGGCCACTGGAAAAGTTAACAATTCTACATGAAAAACAGCATAATAACAATGTCTAGAAATCTTATTCATAATATTGTACATCCTTCAAGTCCTAAACTTGATACTCCTCCACTTGAGGTAGGGACTCTCCACCCACCCGGAGCCACCTTTTTCTGGTCGAGAACCATGGCCTCAGACTTTGAAGAGCTGATCCTCATCCCAACCGTTTCACACTCGGCTGCAAACCGCCCCAGCGCACATTGCAGGTCCTGGTCTGATGAAGCCAACAGGACAACAGACAGCCCTTAGCAATGAGTTCACGAGTGAGGGGTGGATGGAGTGTGAGATTGACAGACGGAGCGATACAGCATCTGCAGTTATGCAGTGGCTGTGTCGAACCGTTGTGGTCAAGATGGTAATGACCTTAAGGAGAAGATCGCAAATACAAGTGGCCGAAATGAGTTTCCTCTGCAGGGTGGCTGGGCGCTCCCTTAGAGATAGGGTGAGGAGCTCGGTCACACGGGAGGAGCTCGGAGTAGAGCTGCTGCTCCTCCATGTGGAGAGGAGTCAGCTGATTTGGCGTGGGCATCTGTTCCAGATGCCTCCTGGGTGCCTCCCTCGCGAGCTGTTCCGGGCATGTTCCAAAGGGAGGAGACCCTGGGGAAGACCCAGGACACACTGGAGGGACTATGTTTCTCGGCTGGCCTGGGAACGCCTCAGGGTCCCCTCGAAGGAGTTGAAGGAAGTGTCTGGGGTGAAGGAAGTCTGGGAGTCCCTGCTTAGACTGCTGCCCCTGCGACCTGGCCCCGGATAAGTGGATGAAAATGGATGGATGGACGCTTTAATTTAGTTGATTAAAGGTGCATTCTGTAACTTTTCAGGTGGAGATTTCACCACCTGTCTCCATGAAGATGTTAGCTTGATATGGCATTAAACATATCTCCCTTAATGGAGACAGGTTAACACCAATAGGCCAAGTTCAAGATCAGATCTGTGGGGAGGCAAGCCCCCTCACAGTAAAAAATAGATGTATTTCAAGTTATTTAAGTGACATAAACACAAATGAATAGCAGTAATTCTCCATGGCGAAACAATAACATCTCCATGGTAATAAGCAGGTATCAGTCCCTCAAACAGGAAAGTTACATAGTGAATCTTTAAATACTGGCAATGCAAATGTCATGTAAACATAAAAACACAGAAATTGCGCAAACTAAACATTATTTGTGTATGCGGCTTATTGTACCATTGGCTCACAATTAAAAAACAAAAAAAATATTAAATTATATATACTTCTGTATCATTTGTTGATTGTTCGTATTCAACATTCTGAGAATTTATGCAGAGATAAAATAATTTAAAGCAAATTTCAGCAAATTAATCAAAAACAAGAAATTATATATACATTTAAAGATCCTATATTACGCACATTTGACTCTTATATTATAATGTTGTTACCTCATCAAAAACATAACTGGCCTTATGTTTTGTTTCATTCACATGTTTGAGTAACACTTTATTATTTGTCTACATTCTCTAAAGGTCAAAACGTAGTAAGGATGACAGCTCCTTTTACCTTTAGTTCAGTAGAGATTTGCAATTCCAGGACTGAAATTTTCCAAATGATTCCAGTGCAAGTGTATGGAGTTTAAAAACACAGTAGAGCACTTCTTGTATTATCACATGACATCACAAGGTGGAACAGGGTGATTTCGGTTCAAGAGAAGAACTTTTGTGTTAAATATGTGTGAATGAAACAAAACACAACTCCAGGTCTGTTTGTGATGAGGAAACTACATTATAAACTAAATCAGAAAACAGTGTAATATGGGCCCTTTAAAGAGGCAGTTTATATCTCATCACTGTGCAACTGTTCTAAACACTGATGTTTTTGAAATAAATTAAAATTGTCGTAGTTTTCTCCGCAGACCGAACAAATGTAGGAGCTCATACCCTGTTCGCTCAGGTTGCAGTTGAGATTTTGATTATCAAATTCTACAGAATCACCATTTTGCTTCATGTTTTCTTCTTGTTCCGTTTCTGAACTGATCGAAGTCAAGCAATGATTATTAGGCACCATTTCTATATTGATTTGTGCATCATCAAAATCCATGTCTTCAGTTTTGAATGTGTCGTGGTCCACAGAAATCCCAGAAGTCCAAGCTACTTCCTGGTTCATATTGGTAAGGTTCTCCTCTGGTTCAGTGTCCAGTGGCTCCTCTTTTGGCTCCAATTTCACGGTTGTGGTTGGGGGCCAGTCCAGACGAGGCTTTTGTTCTAAAGTGTCCATCACAGTTTGGTTTTCAGAAGGGAGGGGCACGTGTTGAGAATCCACAGGTCCACTGCTGTTCCCTGTGAAAAACAAAAAGACAATGTGATGTTAGCAAATATAGAGTAGATAACAGTAAGGTAGACTTTATGTATCACCCACTGGGACATTCATTTGACCAAAGGTGCATGTTTTGGGCTGATGGAGGAAACTAGAAGAAGCTCAGAGAGTTGAACCTGGAACCCTCCTGCAGTAGCGTGGGAGTGCTAGTGTCTCAGGCACCATGGCATGTTGCTGTTAAAGCTAAACAAACAGCTAAAATGTCATACTCTCGGTCGTTTTGACCCTGGTACTAGGTTAGGTCAACATAAAAGGACATTCTCTCTGAGAGCGATGCACTTGGGTCGCTGTGAACATGACAGTCTTATTCTGATTTTCATTAAAAGACCACTCCCAGAGCCTTTGTTACTGGAGGTCTCAGTGGAGGTGAGTCTGGTTCTGTCTGCGCAGGTGAGTCTGGGTCTGTCTGCGCAGGTGAGTCTGGGTGAATGATGCATAGTGTATGTGAACAAGACCGACCCAAAAGTGAAGAACTAAACAGAACTAAATCGAGCTCACACTGAGGCCAGGCCATAGAGTAACACATGTGGAAATGACCTAAATACTCAAAATGTAAGAACTGGATCAGTAAATCTTTTAGCAAAAGAAACACCTGAAATTTAATAAATGCAAGATAGCTAAGATTAAAGCCATACTGTGGAACATTCTAGTCAAAGCAACAAAGCTATTTAAATGTTAATCCTCCTAGATGTGTCAAGTGTTGTGTGAACATATTTGCAGAGGTCTTATCGACCGGATTAGCATGGTTTAGACAGAATAAGAAACACTGGGCTGGGGCATATTTTGTTTGTTTTATGACATGTTAATGAAGATAACATTTTGATAAATGAAACCCTTCAAATTGGGTTTTTCCGTCAATGGTGAATTTTGTCATAATTTATTCAACGCAAAAGAAAATGTGATTCTGTCAAATAGAGAAAACTGTGGTAGTTTCAGTCTTTGTGGTTTACCTGTCATTTTAATAGTCTCATAGCTCAAAATAAACATGATCATAATCTGATTTGCAGTACCCATGTAACCACGGTAACAAGTAACCTTCAGACAGTCCGTGATATATGGCAGTGACTAACAGATCCATGTCAGAAATGAAAAAGCTAATTGAATGACTAGCAAAATCTATCAATTCTTTTTATACAATCTTTATCCTGTTGACAGAATAAAATTTTCTTTTGCAATGGATCTGACCTGGACACCTCCTGGACTACATTACACTACATTACATGACATTACATGACATTATATACATTCATTCATAAAGCAGATTCCTTCCTTACCTAACAGGTGTCCTCTGATCTTGAGATTGATGTGAGTCTTCATGTGTCCTTTCAGGCTGCTGGTTTGACTAAAGAACCGGCCGCAGATATAACACCCATAGGGCTTCTCTCCCGTATGGATCCGAACGTGCCTCTCCAGATGCTCACTCCTCCAGAAAACCTTTGGACAGTATGGACATGGATACATTTTCTTTGGTCTGGGTGCTCTTTTCGGAAAGTCAAACATGCTACCGTCCTTTATGTAGTACTGCTGACTGCCACTAGAAGGCTCCAAGGTGTCCATGGGAGGAGAGAGTGGCGGTAAACCCAGAAATGAAGTTGAAGGTTCGATTCTCAGGCTTAAATCGTTGCATTCTTGGGGAATCGTTTGAATTGTTTGGGGAATTGTCTGGGAAATTGGTGGGGGAACTGTTTGAGGAATCGTTTGGGGAATCGTTTGGGAATTGTTTTGGGAATCGTTTGTGGAGCCGTTTGAGGAATCGCTTGGGAAATCTTTTGGGGAGTCGTTTGAGGAATCGTTTGGGGAGATGTTTCTGAGGAACCGTTTGCTGTATTGGTTGAACTGTTTGGGGACTCGCTTGGGTAATTGTCTGGGAAACCGTTTGAATTGTTTGAGGAATTGTCTTGGGAATCGTCTGGTGGTTTTGTACAGGTTCGATTTTTGACTCGATAGGTTCGGACTTGACAGGTGCAAAAGACAGGAGGGTGTCGTGGTTTTGGGTGAGGGTGATGGGGGTGGGTCCTGTTTGCTGTTGTGTCTCCTCTGGATTCAGTGAGTGATTTTGAATGGACTCGTTTTTGGAAACAGACTTCTCCCCGGACAGTGAGTTTTGTATGGCGAGTTGTGCATCTGTAAGAAAAAGAAATGGCTCATATTAGAAAGACATTATAAGAATCAAAACTTTAATTGTTTCACATGTTGCAGTTGTGTTCAGATTTGCGATTTATGTTTAGATAAAAGAATTTTGTTCACAGTTCACATCAGGAGACCTGAACGAGAATCACATTTGAGAACATGTTTGTACCATAATCAGCTGGAAAGTCCCGCTGAATTGTACCCTTTCTGAAACTAAGTTAGTTAATGTATACATATAAATTTAAATTTAAATTAAAATTTAATTTAAATATAAATACTTTCTGTGACCGGTGTAGCGTTTAAAAGCACTGCCAGTGTGGGTAATGTCTGTAATCTTTACCTCATTACCAGGTAGCAAACTAGTTTTTTTAATATTTAGTTTTACAATTCTGTCAATTCACTGAACGCGACACACCACGCCCTCAGCTCAGCTCAGTCTATTCCACAGGATGATCAGGCACGAAACACCTCTTATTTAGAGCTCCACGCCCCACACTTGCACTAGAGCTAAGATCAGAGGCAAGATCAGGGGAACAAGAAAAAAATATTTAAAATACCATTTCATAGTTAATTTCTATGAGCAAATGAGGATTATACTCAATATTATACTCAACACATCACATCCCCCCTCTCCAGGGCACAGCAGGTACCCGTATGTTGACCAAGAGAAGGCGCCCGGAGGGATTTGTTTGTACAGATCTAAACTACAAGGTTAGCAGTTTTAATGCAGGATAAGGAGATTTTGTTGTTAGTTTGTTTTTTGTGAATAATCGTGCAGCTTTATTTTAAATTTTATAGTTTAAGGTGTTCCGGGCATGTCCCATTGGGCAGAGGCCCCGGGGAAGACCCAGGACACGCTGGAGGGACTATGTCTCTTGGCTCTCCTGGGAACGCCTCGGGGTTCCCCCGGAGGAGCTGGAGGACGTGTCTGGGGTGAAGGAAGTCTGGGAGTCCCTGCTTAGACTGCTGCCCCCACGGCCCCGGATAAGCGGAAGAAAATGGATAGATGGAAGGATGGGTGGAAGTCTTTATTTTATTATTATTATTATGTATGTTTTTGCAGTAGAAAATTAGACAGGCTGTTAAAACTGGAAAAGTTTTGATCACCACCAGCAGTTAGGGCTGGGTATCATTAAGAAGTTGCCAATACGATATATAGGCCACGATACGATACATAGCTCGATACAGTGCACTTACAGTTTGATATATTTCAAATCGATTCGATATGGTTCAATAAAAATAAATGCTAAATCATGGCTGTGATACTAAAAGTCTTAGTTAAAACACTTTTTGTGCAAAGTGAATATGAAACACAAACATTTTAATGAATATGTGAATATGTCAAATGTGTCACAAAAATGAGTTTCCTTTCTCTAAGCAAGCAACAAAACTGTACTCTGTAACAAAATAATGGAGTAAAAACGTAAAATACCAAAAATTACTCTTGGTAATATATTGATACAGCAGCCAACAATATTGATACTGTATCATCACAGAAAGCAATACGATCTATTGATATTTCGATATTTTTGCACCAGCAATGACAACAAAACATTTCAGACAATGTAAGAACATCTCCACAGAGAAAGCATTTGGCAGACCCTCCACCAGAAAAGTTACACAATGCACCTTTAAGGATTGTTCAGCTGAACATGTTACAGATAAAACAACTGTGTCCAACTGTATGGCATAGTACAGAGCCTGCAGCTGTGTTTCTCTTGGCCTGGAGAATGTTTGGTCTATGGGATTTACGGCGTAGGTCTAGGCACAGCTCTGGCTCCACACCAAACCTCATCTTAACCAAAGCTCCTCCTTTAAACACTACGTGACCCCAGTGAACCCTTTACTTCATGAAGCTAACTCATCTGGCCTCCATTAGTCCAACGTCTCATCACAACCCTGACAGTTTGTACCACAGAATTCACATTTCTCACACTTCAGCTAACAACTCTGGAGTGCTCACTGTACAACTTCAGTTTATAAAGTCTTAAAAAAGGTCCTATATGTAAGACAGCTGCAGTACCTCCAGAACGCTGCAGCTCAGGTCCTGACTCGAACCAGGACATCGTTCTGAACATGTGAGACAGGCCTCTACTTTGACTCTTTTAAATCCAGGTTCTGTTTAGTTGTACACATGACTGAAAGGTTTTCATTCTGCACTCTTTAATTTCTCTCTTTAATGTTTTTTTTATGACAATAATTTATGTATTTGTTTGTATTGTAATTTTAATGTTATTATTCTGTAAATCACTTTGAATTATTTTGTGTATAACTTGTGCTAAACAAATAAACTTGCCTTGCCTATAATACATAAAATTGTGACTATTGTGACTAAACTGTCACTATTGAGAGCTTTAAGTCATGTTAGAATGTTACCTCCTCAAAAACAGACCTAGAGTTGAGGTTTGTTTCATTCACACATGATTGAGTAATGCTGTATTATTAGTCTGTCTGTATCATTGTTTCTCAAAGATTGGGATGCGACCCTCAGGTGGGTCACAGATTTTTTTTAGGGTCGTCTTGTCACAATCTTCATGTACGTCTGCAACATACAGTTCTGACACTGACATGAATGTTGCGCTCTCCTCCTGCAGTAGAAATGTTGAAATGTTAAGACATATTTTGTATAATTTCATTTTATTGACTACTTTGTTCCAGTAGTGCTGGTTTAAGTGAATGTTGAAAAATAAAAAGAAATGAACTACATTTAATGTCCAAATAGGCAACTTATGGATTCTTGTATTGCTGGTTCAATGACTGTTTTTCAGTCTTTAAAATTTGAGTAACACTAATTGTTCAGAAACACGATCACTCAGTCAACAATAAAGTATCCTCATTAATGTTCAATCATGGTCTAATCCACCTTTATTTTGTGATTTACAAATAACGTCTATTGACTTGGGTCGTGAAGGTTTTTGACTTTTAAAATATGGGTCCCCAGAAAAAGGTTTGGGAAACACTGGGCTACATCTCCAAAGCCCAAAATGCTTTGTTCCACCTTGTGATGTCATGAAGAGGTAGTTTTCAAGTCAACAGCTACAACAGCAGAGATTGGCAATTCCAGTACTCAAATTTTCCGAAAGATTCTAGTGAAAGTGTATGGAGTTTAAAAACACAGTAGAGCACTTCTTGTATCACCGAATCACATCAAACGTGGAACAGAGTGTTTTCTATTTGAGAGAAGAACTCAGCCTAAATATGCAGGGTTTGTGGGTTAAACATGTGTGAAGGAAACAAAACACAACTGCAGGTGTGTTTGTGACGAGGAAAGTACATTAGAACATAGATCGGGAAACTGCATAATATGGACCCTTTAAATACAATCTACCCAGCAACAAATGGACACAATTTGTTACAGGATTGTCCCAAACTAGTATCGAAACTAGATGCTCATTCAAGTCACATTCACAGGACAAAAATTAGCCTTTCCTGAATGTCTTGAAAATGATCTTGAGCTGCATCAATACAAGTATAAGAGCACATAGACTAGTATAAACCTATGAAACACTATGGAACCTACCTGGGCCACTGAGGGATTACACACATATAAGACCACATGGGGATAGAAAAGAAAGCACTATGATTTAATTGGAATTTTTTTTTTTTTTAAGGTGTAGGTCTAGGCACAGCTTTGGTTCCACATCAAACCTCATCTTAACCAAAACTCCTCCTTAAAACTCAACATGACCCCAATGAACCCTTTACTTTACAGGCTGAACTTACAGATGGAGAGGCGTGTTTATAACTAACTATAACTATAAAAAGAATGAATCACAGTTAATGAAAGAAAATCCACAAATGAACCTAGTCATTTGTTTGGGGTTGGGTCCAAAATTGCCATGTTAATCTTGTGGTTTAAAGTCTTTTTGACAAAGCAAATTTGTGTTTTTGAAAAGTGCAACGCATTTCGTTCCTCCTGACCACCAGAGGGCGGCCCTGAAAGGCCTGAAAGATTTCCTTTGCACATGTTTTAGAACTGAAACTATAGTCTACATATTCTCTGATCGTTGCCCAATCAGATGAAGTGACACAGTGCCGTTGTGTGTTTTGAAGCATGGAGCTGTATGATAAGAAGTGTCCTGATACGAACTCTTAGTGGTTGCTCCGGGTACTGCAGCTCCCGAGAGCTCTGGCCCAGAAAGAATTCCCCCATAGAGCGCAGTGTATTTATGTGACAGCAAACTCATATTATATTTTAGAACAGAGGTGTCCAAACACTTTTCAACAAGATTGAAGCAGAAGGCCAACTCACTGACAAAGACTGGTGTCAGTACAGTCAATAATTCTATTATGTGCCTACATAACAGGTTAGAACAGACTTGGGCATTGTACAGCTACTGGGCCACATACATACATACATAAACCCTTACCAGCTTTGTAGCCCAGTCCTTCACAATATTTTCTGTTTTTCATGTGCCCCATGGAAAAAATAATTGTCCAGCCCTGGGTTAGAATGTGCAACAAGACCTTTACTCACTCTAAGATCATCAACAGGACACTCAAAATATTTTATATAGATTTTTTTCTATGTCTAGGGACTAAGTCTCTGGGCTGGCCTGGGAACGCCTTAAGGTCCCCCCGGAGGAGCTGGAGGATGTGTCTGGGGTGAAGGAAGTCTGGGAGTCCCTGCTTAGACTGCTGCCCCTGCAACCTGGCCCCGGATAAGTGGAAGAAAATGGATGGATGGACTTTTTTCTAATACACAGAACAATTTTAATGTACTCTGGTCAAATTTGGTCCATGGGCCATAGTTTGGACATGGCTAGAGTCACCCATTTTAAAACCTGTGATGTCATAATCCCAGATTGGAGGCAATAGCATGTATTTCCTCTTGACTACATTGTCCTTGAAATATCCAAAACGTAAACTCACAATGTTGAATCTGATCATTTCTATATTTCACTAGACCCAAGAACTCAACAATCAACATTTTAACAATATTTATTTAAGCTGCTTCCATCTGCATTAAATCACTTTGGCCTACAGAACTTTGTGATGTCATGTGAACTAGGAGAATCACATGATCCCTCATGATTCAGTATGATACATGCAATGGCCGTACATGTGATATTTAGCTGTTTGTTAAGAACCAAACCCATTTTAACAACAGTCTTTCTTTATTAAACCACCACCTCTGCAAAGTGAATATGAAATACATCTATTTTAATCATCAAAACAGTGAATATGTCAAGTGTATTGCATAAACAAGTTTCCTTCCACTAAATAAGTAACAAAATTGTAGTGCGGCCACAAAAGAATTGCTAAAAGACCCCAAAAATATCGATTCAGCAGCCCATGATAACAATACTGCATCAGCAATTTTACTATCATGATATTTTGATATTTCAGTATTTTTGATAAATTTTTACCTCGTATGTGGATCTTGCGGTGCTCCTTTAAACTGCACTTCTGGTTAAAACAGCGCCCGCAGGTCTCACACTGAAAAGGCTTCTCTCCCGTGTGGATCATCTTATGTCTCTCCAGATGTGCCGATCGCTCAAAACACTTCCCACAGTACGGACAGATCTTCTCCTTCTTCGGCTCCACGGTGAACGGGTTAAATCCAAAATGTCTGCCACTCGCCCCCACTTCCACTGAAGAATTCGCCAAATGGGGCAGGCTATTTTCAGAGCGTCCTAAATTGGCATTTTGAGATGTGGTTTGGTCACTGTCCCTTTCCAAAATGGAGGTCCTGTGCGGTTCTATCGGCCGTGGTGGAGGAGGGTCTTCACTTCGATCTTCAAGCGTTCTATTTTGCACCAGAGACACGGGCTGGTTTTTGTGGTCGATTGAAGGAATAAAAGTGACAAATATGGAGGAGGTGTCTTTGTTTTGGATAGCCAGGTTGTCTGTGAAAACAAAATACCAATGTTAGTACTTATCAGTCGTTATTACGTAGCAAATGACAATTTAAAACTAAATGGTGAAAAGTTCTCAAAATGTCACATACAACAGAAAGCAGAATGTATGTGTGCTGAAAAACTACCTCACCAAAATGATCAGAGATTAGAGCAGTGGTGTCAAAGTCAAATTCACAGAGGGCCAAAACTGGAACTAAGTCGTGGGCCAAACTAAACATTTATTGAAAAATTTCAACAAAATCGGCATTTCTTTCGAGATATGTAAAGTTAAACCTTTTCTTATTTCATATTTTAAAAATAAATGTTTAATAATAGTTTTGCTTAAACACTGAATGCAGAACAAGCAAATTATAAAATAATAACAACATTTTAACTAAATGTCTTTATAGTCTATCTGTAGCCGGCGGGCAGCTCTAATACATATTTGATATGATCTAACGGGCCAAATATAATTATATCATGAGCCAAATTTGGCCGACGGGCCTGAGTTTGACACATCTGGATTATAGTGTCATTATTGATAGAACAAAGGGTAAAAAGTACAGTATGTAACTTTTTGGCGGTGGCACATCACCTGCATGATTCCATGGAAACAGAAAGTCAAAATCATAAATCTGGACATTCTCCAGATAATAATGCCATACTGTGAAATATTACACCAAAGGACGAGTCTGTAAGAGTCAGGTTTGTGGAGATACAAGCCCACTCAGAGTAAGGACGCATGCTTTTCTACTTTTTTCAATGTTTGTAAAATCCCTCAGTTGTCCAGGTAGGATCCGTGGAAAAGGAGAAATTTAATGCTGTCTGCTGGACAAATGTTTTTTTGTTTTGTTTTGTTTTGGGGTTTTTTCTATGCTGTTGAACACTTCCTGATATCTGTCTGCAGGGAGAAGCTAACTACTCTGAAACTAACACCCTACTTGTTTACAGTTTATGTTTGTTAGCTAAGCCTATTCATCTATTCTGTTCCTCGATGGCTCTTCCCTGCAGACAGATATAAGGAAGTGTTCACCAGCATTCTGACCAGAACTGAAGAAGCAGCTTGGATGAGCTGCAAAATGTTTTTGACCTAAATAAACGTTTGTCCAGTTGACAAAATGAATTTCTTCTTTGCCATGGATTCTCCCTGGAGGACTGAGGGATTCTACACACAATTTGATCAAATATGTTTCAGTTCAGTTCAGTTTCAGTTCAGTGCTTTTTTCAACGCATCAACAACAGATAAGAGGGAACTGAAGCTTTCCCGAAGAGCTTTAGAATGATCTTGAGCTGTAGCAGAGCAAGTAGAAGAGCACATAGACTAGTACAGGGCCACATGGGAATAGAAAAGAAAGCACTGTGTAACTTTTCTGGTGCAGAGCCTGTCAAACATTTTTAGCCATGGAGATGTTATTGCTTTTGAGTTTCACAGTATGGCATTAAACCTTTCTATCATCATGGAGACCAAAGCAAACCAAGTTATAGGTCAGATATGTGGAGAGGCGGACCCGGTCACAGTCAGAATGTCTGTTTTTCTGTGTTTTTCTGAGCCATAAAACCACCTGTAATTGAATAAATGTAAGGTAAAGCTGTTTAATGTCATACTTGGCACATTTACAAGAGAGCTTTATTTCTGAATAAAAATAATTTAATTCTGAATAAAATTTAATTCCACTTTAAAAAGACCATGTAAACACTTAACTCTTAATGAAAATGATTATTCGGAATGAAACTTAATTCCAAAGTAAGCGGGTTGATTTAAGCCAAATTTCTTCCTCGATCATGTAAACGTTTATACTTTTTAAAAATAATTGCTAGCACATGCTTGTTGGGTCGCCCTTCTCACGCGATCTGGACGATCCGGGTCCACCAGTCCTGGCTTCAGACTTTCATCCACGTCTCTTTGGATTTGTGAGCGGGATGTGGGAGTGGGCTGAGGTAGAGCAGCCGTTGACTCAGTTTGTCTTCTTCCTGCCTTCTCCGATATTCTTCCCTTCTCCTCAGCTGACAAACGTAAAGCGTGATCAGAGAATTCTCCAGCTGCTGCGCAATTATCATCGGAACGACTAAGAAAAAAGTTTGGATCATGTTTGTGTCCGTGGAGTAAGGACAAACCGAGATGACAGAAAAGCCGGTAGCAGCTGAAGTGTGTGTTTTCTTCCGGTTGACGTAAATATGTTCGTGTCTCTGTCCAATTAGAACCCTTTCCCACCCCCAGACGAATTAAATAAAGGCAATGTAATGTGTTTCCCATGTAAATCTCAATTCGGAATCATTATTTCCAGGTAAACTCGAAGGAGATTATTTTAATTCTGAACTATTTAATTCTGAACAATTGCTTCTGGATTGAAAAATATCATGTAAAATTGGCCAATGTGCAACATTCTGAGCAGAGCAATGGCATATCCATAAAAACATGGAACCTCCACTAGAAAAGTTACACATTGCAGAATTAATTAAAATCAAAATAGACTTTGAAAGTTTAGTATTGTAACAGCACTCATTTGTAATACATATTTCTCTATCACTCCTTCCCCCTCTCTCACCCTCTTGTAAATCTAGAGCAGTGAAACAAGGGCCTGTGGGAACTTAGGGTTATTTCAGTTCCCAGGGCTGAGCTGTAAGCCTTACCCTAATCATAGCTCCCCTCCCCCTAAACTCGACTGGTAAACTCTTCACATCTCTCCACTACTAACCTCTGAGTACCACCAGAGCTAAACCAGGTCAATACAAGTTTCACAAATACACTTTAAAGGTCCTGTATTTCCCAAAATGGATTCTTGTTAGCTTTAACCCATGTTATAATGTTACTCCATTGAAAACATATCTGAAATTGTGTTTTGTTTTATTCATGCATTTTTGAGTAATCTGTGTACATCTCCAAATCTCAAAATGCTCTATTCCTCCTTATGATGTCATGAAGTGGTAGTTTTGAAGTTCACAGCTTACCTTTAGTTCAGAAGAGATTGACAATTCCAGGGCTGAAATGATCCAAATGATCTGAATGAAGGTGTGTGGGGGTTTAAAAACACAGTGGAGCACTTCCTGTATTACCACATGACATCACAAGGTGGAACAGAATGTTTTCTGTTTGAGAGAAGAGCTCATCCTAAATGTGTGTTAAACATGTGTGAATGAAACAAAACACAACTCCAAGTCTGCTTTTTTATGAAGAAACATTAGAACAGTATATCAGAATAGAGCCTAATATGGGCCCTTTAAATAAAATTAGAGGTCTTGTGTTGCCTGATTCATCAGCCGGTTTTACTTTGTGGAAACCGTCTGACCTCGCAGCATTAGGATTCCTTCGCTCAACGGTAGGCAAGTACTTTTTTAATTTAACCAATCACTGCTATTTGGTCGTGATGTATGTAATGCGCCAAATCCTGTAGGAAGAAGGGCAATAACGTCTTTCCCCTTGATAAAATTCACCAAACATTCTCTTTGTTCCGGCTTTAAATCCTCGATCTCGGGAATCGTTACCAACACAGAATGTCTGTCTTCGTCTACATCCATCTCGACGCTTTATTTACTGTTGTGCTGTACCACAAAATGGACCCAGACAGACACGACGAGTTTGACGTCATGGCTTCACAGCTCTTCGATGATTGGCCGGTGTGCAGTCTACAACTTCGGGGTTCTTGCAAACCGTATAGTGCATTCCACTTTCTGACCTAGACGCTGGAGAGAAATTAAATTGAGCCGAGGTACTAGGTGGCGCCAGCCTGACTATGTCTTGTGGTCATTAGTTACCACATTGCTGATTAGGCCTGAGCTGTCAAATTTTTATTTATTTGCTGAAAGTCTATGGAAGAAAGAATGGGATACTTTACTTTCACAAGCAGAGGCGGGCGGTCACTGTCGAGCTCCTTGTTTTTAATCACCGATAAGCTGTGTGATAAGGCTTATCTGCATCCCACACGCCTTAGTAAAATATGAAAACAAAGTATTAAACTATTAACGGGATGGGTTTGGGCAGGGACCTAAGACAGTCTATGTAGTTGTTTCTGTATGGTTCTTTATCCATCTATGCCCACTTTGTTTTTTTGTGCTTTAATGAAGATTCAAGGTCTATAGTGGACAGTCAGTAAAATCATTGTTGCTCACCTAAAGGCCACCACACATTACAGGATTTCTGGGTCTTAAACAATTTTTAAATGTGCGACAAAAAGCACACAGCACATACACAGACACGAGGAGAATCTTATGAGACTTAACATCTTCGATCACAAAGACTGCAGTGGGATCTGTCTGCGGACCACAGGATATAAAGTTGTGATCGCGCAATCACGTCAGCCGTTTCCTGTCTACAGTAAAACCACTCGCTTTGAGACTGAAGTGTTGAAAAGATCAGATCACTGCACTTCTAGTTTAGATATAAGTCAAAACTGTGATTTCACTGTCACTAATCTGCAGCTTCACCTCAATCCGTGCACGGTGTGGATGTAAACACACACTTGAGGAACTACTCTCACCTTTTTACTTTTAAAGAATGCCTCAAATTGGATTAATAGCGCTGTTTTGTGGACTGGATGTCATTATTTGCAGAGGACAAACTCTATGGATAATGTGGATGAGATGCTGCACTTTAAATTGACCACTTTACGAGAGATATATTGTGAGTTTGTATCTTGCGTCTCTGTGTCCGTCACTCCTCTGCCCCTGACTCTGTTTTATTGGATGTTACCGTAGCGTTGCTGATGTTTGGTGGTTACGATCAGACACTGACACCACACATGAGGAGCACAGCAGCTTCACAATCGCACACGAAGACATAAAGTCCGGTCACACGTCTCTGAACTCGGGTAGAAGAAATCGCATCCAAAATCGGGCAAATTCTCCTGTAGTGTGCGACGCTTCTTCAGTTCTGACAAGGTTCTGTAAATGTTTTATATTTGTCTGAAGCGAGGACCAAATGACACTGAAATGAACACACCTTAGCTGTTTCTTTTATTAAGACTGAGACAAACTATTGATCCACAAGGTAAATCATTTAGACACAGTAGCGAACACATCACAATGTACTGTAATAACAAACAAAATATTAGGGCTGTAACGATATCCAAATCTCTCAATACAATATTTTCACAATATGCATTTCACGGTACGATATTTATTGCAATATTTTGCGTAAGCCAACAAAATTGTGAATATGCGTGTTTTCTGCAATAATCCAAATAATTAAGATTTAAACGTACATAATAACAGTTATTTTATCATGTAGATTGGACTAAAACAGAGGAAAGGATCATGGTCTACATAGTTCTGTCTGTTTTTAAGCTGTTGCTGCACCATAACAATGAATTTAAGGAAAGAAACTTGTAATTCAGTATATTGTGATGGCCCACGATATTATTGTGAGACTTTTGACAATACAATATCACAGCATTTCGGTTACTGTTACATCCCTACAAAATGTATATCAATGGTAATAATACATTGTAAATAAGTAGCAGAAATAGCAAGAGACTGGTGTCAAATAAGACATAATTATAAATGTGTACAAGTAAAAAGTAGACAGTAAAAGTATTAGTTCATTCCATTGAAATATCCTAAAGCGTGAACTGTCGCCTTAGTCATTATTAAACTATTCGTTCAAGGCCCTAATGAATCATCAAACACCTACACTTTGACATTTATGTCTACACTGCCCAACACGCAAAACTCTGGTCAGATCTGCTCACGTCACATACGTGTTTATGTCACATACATCACCACCTAGCGTCACCACCGAGCCGCCTGGCATGCATACCCAATTGAATTCCACACACTTCTGCATCACCGTATGCACGCAGATTTCCTCCCGAAAACGCAAGTCTAAACGCAGAATAAAAAGTGAAGATGCAACGCCACCTTTGTGTCTTCTGTTCAGGCCATCATCATATAAATGTAGCCTGAATCAAATGTTTTGTTGAGTTAATTTTATTTACTGAACAAAATTGCTTTGGCGACCAGGACAGTTGCCCATGAATTCTTTTATATTCATTTCCCTGTTAGTAAATGTCAATAGGTCAATTGCTATACATGGTAATAAACCAGCTTATTTGGAAATACCAGACTGAATACCATGAAGGTCTTTAAAAAGTATTAGGTTACACAGAACTGACTCTTGTGAGCTTTAAGCCATGTTATAAAGCTGTTACCTCCTCAAAAACAGACCTGGAGTTGTGATTTGTTTCATTCTCACATGTTTGAATAACTCTTTTACCATTTGTTTAGTAAAAATGTGTAAATATTCCAGGGCAGAATTTATCAATATGATTCTAGTGAAGGTGTATGGAGTTTTAAACACAGTGAAGCCGTTCCTGTATTACCACATGACATCACAAGGTGCAACAGTGTTTTTAGTTTGAGAAAAGAACTCAGCTTATATCTGCAGGGTTTGTGTGTTAAACATGTGTGATACAAAACACAACTCCAGGTCTGTTTGTGATGAGGAAACTACATTAGAACACAGATCAGAGAATGACTTAATATGGGCCCCTTAATAAGCTCCAACTACACGGGCCATCCTCTGGGACTTACCCCGCGCTCCGTGCTCCCTTCTCGGCGTGGCCCCTGCCTCCTGCGCCGCTCTCAGCTCCACCTGAAGCCGGGCGATATCTCCCTTCAGCCGCTTGATCTCGCTCTCCCGGTAGCACGTCTCCAGGCGCAGCACCATCATCCCATCCTCCACGATTTTGGAGATTTCTGTGACCGCGGTTCGGCACAGAGACTCCACTATAGCGGCGATGCGAGTGCGAAGCTGCCCGCTGCTCAACATCATGGCTCGGTCAGACGGGTGCCAACAAACCCGGGGCGCACGGAGGAACTTTTACGCACAAAGTCCACCGCGTCTGACCGTGAACCAGAGACACACTAACCGGGCTAAAGGGGGGACATTGTACGTTTATTCGCTCGGTAACACCCAGCTTCTGTCTGATACGACGTGTCGATTTGAGCTAGCGGCTGCTAATTGGCAACAATCGACAAGATAATAGAAAAGACGTCTCGTTTTACGGAAGTGATGTAATTACCGTAACTGAGAGGTCGCGCATGGAAATTCTTGATTGAGGTTTTGTTGAAATCATAGAACTAAAATAAAGTCTGTAATAATAATAAGAATAAGAATAAGAATAATTTGATTTCTGTATTGTTTATGATTATATTTATTTATTATTATGTATTTAGATTTATTTATTGTAAAAAAAAGGAAAGAAAGAAATTTAATAATGAAAACTAATAAAAGAAATTATAATAATAATCAAAAATAATATTTATAATAAAACAATAATACCACTATTACTATTAATAATGTTGTATTGTATAAATTGTATTTATATATTATTATATTTATTTATTGTTTACAAATAGTAATACATATAATAAAAAATTATAAATAATAAAATCTAAAAATACTACTACTACCAATAATAATAATAAAATGATTTATTTATATGTATTTATTGTTAAAAATAATAAATAAACTCTTTAATAATCTCTAACAAAGTTTTTATTATAGATGGTTCAAGTGTTAAATGTGTAACTACAAAATAGGACCTCGTAAAGTGTTGCATAGCTTATTTCAAATTTATTCTGATTTGCAAAATATTTCTGGAACATCCATTCGATCATAAAACATTAATTACAAAATGGGTACACAACTGAACACTGAGCTTATTCTGAAAAATGCAAAATTTTAACATGACAGGAATATTTTAACTACCAACATAACAAATACTTCATTACCAAAATGCTTCAGTCTAAAGTTAAAAATAGCAAAAACAGCAATATAAGAGTGAATAAAAATAAATAAATATAAAACTACATTTTAACACTGATGCCAATTCAAAATCTGACTCTTCAAAGTATTTATAGGTGTATAGCGACTTTTGAAAGAAACAATATAACACTGATTCTGATTCATTCATTATTTTCATATTATTATGATGTTTAGTCCTTTTACTTTTTTGCCCTATTGTGACTCGTCTCAAGAAATGTAACACACACAAAAAAGCAACATTTTAGCTGCCCCCATCTGTATTCAATATCACAAACAATTTACGATACAATGGCGTGGTGTTATCATTTGAAGCCCAGCAGTCTTCAAGAAAGATTCAGGTCACGACATTTTTGTGCTAGAAACCAATTATTCTGAAGTAACACAGCAACAAATGTTTTGGAGGAATTCATCTGGACTTTTTAGGCTGAAGATGTTTCACCTACCTCCAAATAGTGAGACTCTGATTCTGGAGAAAAAACAACTGGGGGCTGATTTTGTCTTGCCTTAACAAAAGGACTACACCATTTGTTCACAGCAGAGGATTTTCCGCTGGGGGTTGGGGTCTGTTTGTGGCTTTCAAATGAGATCATAACATTCTATAGGCCAATCATTTACAGATGGGGATGTCTGCTATAAAGTTATAATCTCACTATGTTATATTCTGGACATTTAAAATCAAAATATTGATGTAACACAACTTAATAAAAAGAAATAAGTTCACTGATTCCCGGGTTGAAAAATTGCAGAACCCAATAGGTGCTGATGTTGCCCCAAACATCATCACAACAAAGTGCTACAGAGCAGGGTGTGTGAACTGGTAGCGGTGGAAACGGGGGTAGATTGGAGCAGCAGCTCTACTCCGAACTCCTCCTGTATGACTGAGCTCCTCACCCGATCTTGAATGAAACGCCCAGCCACTCTGAAGAGGAAACTCATTTTGACCACTTTTATCCTTTTGGTCATTACCCAAAGCTCTTGACCATAGGTGAGAGTAGGAACGGAGATCTAAACCTGGACTAAATTTGGACGAAACCAGGAACATAGGTGAGAGTAGAATGTAGACTGAGCTGTAAATTTGCCTTTGGACTCAGCTCCTTCTTCACCACAACAGTCCGATACAGCGACTGCATGACTACAGACACTGCACTGATCCAGCTGTCGATGTCACGCTCCATCCTCCCCTCACTCGTGAACAAGACCCCAAGATACTTGAACTCCACCACCTGGAGAGGGCGCTACCTTTTTCAAATCGAGAATCATAACCTCGGATTTGTACGTAGTTCCATAGTGAACCTTTGACATGGACCAATTCTGAAAAATAAACTTTTCAGAGCTTTTAACCATGTTATAATCGTTTCCTTCTCAAATACCCTCTCCAAGTGGTATTCAGTGTGATTCATGCATGTCTGAGCAATCTTTACGCTCCTGTATTCAAGACGTCACTGCTCTGAGCCATTTTGACGCAAATGAAAAAAAAAAAGTCTCTAGTGTGATGAGCAGCTATCCATCGGAGGGGCTCACAGCTCTTTGTTGTGATGAGGTTTACGGAGACATCAGCTCCAAATGATAACATAATTCTCCACGGGTGCCATAGATTATAACACAATAGGGACAATAGTTCTTCTTTAAGTCTTATTTCATCGTCTATCTGTGTGACCTCTCGTGCCGCACACAGTTATCTTGCCTTGAAAACATTTTACCACACGTTCTACAGCTGAAGGGTTTGGCTCCGGTGTGCACGCTCTGGTGACTCATGAGTCTCTTCTTGGCTGTAAACGTTTTTCCGCACTGTTCACATCTGAGCTCGCCCTTCGCGTTCAAATTGCTTTTCTTTATGTTTCTGTTAAAGCCTCCATTTTGTACGTGATGGGCTATGAGAAACGGGGAAAATCCAGGTTTTTGCGAGTGAAATAGCTCCTGATTCTCGTTTAGAAGTGAGTCCAGAGGGAGATCTGATTGTTGGAAATCTTCTAGCTGTTCTGAATAGTGCATACGGTAACTTTGTAGTTTCGTGCGTTGATTCACTGCTCTCATCAAATACACAAGTGGCATTAGCAGTAGAAGTACCATCGGAAGTAGTAGTACACAGCGGAGGCGGAGACCATAGGCCGTGGTGGAGATCAGGATCAGTTGTGTCGAACTCTTCAGTTGGCTCACACTTCACCACAGGCTCAGGGTCCTCTTCTGAAAAGACAGCAATATTTTAAAGATGCACTATGTGACTTTCTTGTATTAAACAGCAAATTGTAATAGTTATTTAGGTAAAATTTCTGTAAAACTTCTACATTCTATAGACCAATATTATTTAATACAAATGGGGGAGTCTAAACTTAAAGGTGCATGGTAGTAACGTTGAGGTAGAGGGACCGTCACCTGCTTGTTTCCATGGATATGTCATTGATCTGCCTGGAATGTTCCACAGTATGACATTAAACAGCTCTACTTTACATTTATTCAATTACAAGTGGAAAAACAGAAATTTTGACTGTGAGCGGGGCTATATCTGACCTGTAACTTGCTTAGGTTTGGTCTCCATGAAGATAAAAAGGTTTAATGCTATACTGTAACATCCCAGACAAAACGACAACATTGATCTCCACGGAGAAAAGCATTTGTTAAAATGGAGATTGTTGTTGTAATACAGTGAGTTCTATAAGGTCTAGTCCCTAATAGAGACGATCAGGCTAAAATAATGGCTAAATTGTGGCTGTGACACTAAAAGTCTTTGTTAAACCACTTCTTGTGCAAAGTTCATATGAAACACAACCATTTTAATCATCAAAACAGAGAAAATGTCAAATGTGTCGCATAAACGAGTTTCCTTCCTATGAACAAGCAACAAAACTGTAGCTGTAACAAAATAATTTAGTAAAATATACCAAAAAATACTCTTGATTATATATCGATACAGAAGCCCTCGATATCGATATTGTATCAGCACATTAAATGATATAATGTATTCATATTTTGATATTTTAGCACACCCCTAGTGGTTAATAATAAAAATGTTAATGTAGGAAAACTGTTATGCAGAGACCGTTCGTGACTAACATGAGCCAGTATAGTCACATTTTCTTTTTATTTTGGTCATTTTTAAACAGATTTATTGAATTTTACCTAAACAATTGACAATTTATGCTTCTCTTTACTGTTGGCAGAGATCAGATTGGTCAAAAATATGAATACCTGGGATATTTCTTTCTTTCTATAAAACTGGGACAAATCACTGGTTTTGTATAAGTTATCTGGGACAGGGGACGCAAGGCTCAAAACTGAGACTGTCACGGGTAAACAGGGACGTCTGATCACCCTAACATCATTTTAACTTTACTTCTAAACAAAGCTGTCTCTGTCACCTTTGGTCCACACTTGTTGGCAGGTCTCGGTCTCGGTCTCCTCCGGTTTTTCCTCCTCCCCGGGGCTCCCAGCCGCCTCCTCCCGGGCTCTGAGCTCCTCCACAGCGGCTCGCAGCTCCAGTATCTCCAGGTCCCTCTGCTCTATGTCCCGCTCCTTCTCTCGGATCTCCCGGTCTCTGTCTCGGAGCTCCAGCCTCAGCTCCACGGCTCCGTCCTCCACTAAAGCGGTCACTTCAGCCACTACCGCCTTCAGCAGAGCCTCCATGATGGCCGTGAGCTGCGAGCCGAACGCAGCCGGGAAAGACATGCTGTTTTCGGGCAGAATAATCCTCCAAAGACGTTAAAACTCCAGAGTTCCGCGTCTTTCTCTTTTTGCACTGATGCTTTAGTTTTGTTTACTTCCGGGAAACAACTTCTTCTTCGGTCATAGCCGCAGACGAGGAGCGCGCCATGTTGTGATACTGCCATCTGCAGGAGAGTTGTGAGAGTCAAGGAGAGTCAAAATATGCCTAAAGATGTTCCAAATGTGCCCCAAATGTGACCAAAATATGCCTCAAATATGTCTCAAATATGTATGCCCCAAAGATGAGCCAAATATATCCCAGATATGCTCAAAATACACCCCAAATATGGTCAAAATATGACCATATATGCCAAAAAATATGCCCCAACAATGAGCCAAATATGACCAAAATATATCCTAAATATGCCCCAAATATGGTCAGACTACACCCCAAATATGCCTTGACCAAAATATGACCAAAATTGTCTTAAGATATGCCCAAAATATGCAAAAATTTAGCCCAAATATGCCCCAAAATATGCTTCATGTGTGGTCCAATTTCATGTTCTTAATGGATGATACTCGTAGGATTGGGCCCATGCGGCATTTTGTTGTCATGACGTTTTCGGCCATGTCCGCACCCAACCATGCCGAAGTCAGCGCATTTGTTTGGATCGATATTGACCACGTTAACATGTTTTTTAATTCCAAATTCAATGACTGACAAGTTCAGTAATGGGACTTTTGACTCTTTGGATCCAAATCTTTTGAATCCATTAATTTCAAGGAGCCATTCAAAAGACTGGCTCTTTTTATATTAATTTATATGACAGAAGCCAATGTGAGAACTCATTTTATCTAAAACTAACCACAAAGAGAAATCAGCAAGGCTTAGATTTGATTTAAATGGTTCAACCTGAGAGTGGGAGAGTGCTTACCCTTTGAAATGATGATTATCTAAATAAAAATATGCACTTCAATCAAAATAATTTACTCATTATGATCCGAAATGTTTTTTGTGCACAAATCTCGTGTGATCTGCTTCTTTCTGTGCCAATTCTTTTTTTGGTTCAGCGAAAAATACATAAAAATTAGAATGAATCATACCTGGCTTCAAAGATCTTGTTCATGAACATCACATCACTAGAACTAACCCGCGAAGGAAATGCAGCCTCTCTTGGAAAATCAGTATCTATACTTAACTTACAAACATTGAAAAGAGAAGATATCACAGTCTTGTGCCATAAAAGTGTTAAAATAAGAAAATCACTTCCATTAAAGAAAAAATGCAATAAAAATGCAACATTTTAAATATAAATTGTGAAGAATTGCAATTGTTTTTTTTTTACTACTTTTATTACTAAAACTAAAAGCTGTGTAGTTAACAGTTTGTGTTCACTAAATCACAAAATATAACTAAAAAATGATGACAATTACATACTATATCTTTTTACAGTAATAGTCTCAATATTCCAAATACTTTCAGAGGCAAGTATAACTGTTTGGCCAGGAATATCCAAGAAGAAAGCACTGCAATGTTTCACAAGTTCGTCATAGTGTCCTTGTGGCTAAAAGTTTTTCTACAGATAACAGCCTGTGTTAAAACATAAAACATAAAAAATTGAGGAAGCTGAAAACCATTAATAGCCAGTGTTGGGAAGGTTACTTTTAAAATGTAATCCCCTACAGATTACAGATTACACACCCCAAAATGTAGTTTGTAACGTAATCCATTAAATTGCTTAAAGTGAGTAACGTAATCTGATTACTTTGGATTACTTGATATTGTCATGTTTTTTTAAACGACATGAATGTAGCAACCACATTCTGAAAATTCTTGTTTGTTGTCTTCAAATTGTCTGAGCCCAAGTCTCCATGAATAAGCAACTGTTTGGTGTAGAGAAACAAAGACCACGATATCTTAATATAAGAGGTTTTGTCTGTTAAAAGACAATAACAAGATCAGCCTTTCCTTAAACATATTAAAAAATATTATTGATAGAGAAATTATTTTTTATATGAGATCACCTTAAATTATGTCAACCTACTGTTAGGTGTCATGTTGTTTAGACCTGGTTTAGTCCTGGTTTATCCTTTTAGACCTGGTTTACTCCTGATTTTAGACCAGGTCTAGACCAGGTCTTTAGTTCTGGTTTAGTCGTGGTTTAGTCCTAGTTTAAACCTGGTTCTGTCCTGCTTTAGTCCTGGTTTAGTCCTGGATTAGTTCTGGTTTAGTCCTGGTGTTAGTTCTGGTTTAGAGGCGCACAGGAGGAAGTGAGGTTTACGCGAGAAAACACAGTCCTCACGCGGCGCACGAGACGGCAGTGTCCGCGCTGTAACTACGGAAGGAGACGTGGTCCGCGGGTTCTCAGGTTGATGACGATGATGAAGGTGTTTGTGTGTGTTTGTGTGTGTTGTGTGTGTTGTGTGTTTTTGTGTGTTTGTGTGTGTTTGTGTGCGCGTCCACTCATGTGGCAGGTCACTATAGGACAGTAGTGCAGATATTATGAGTCTATGCAGGTTGTTTTCACCATTGCCAGTAGCTCCTGTTTCACATTTAAGTTGTAGGCGATTTTATTTGTTGTTTTTTTTGTATATATCTCACATCGGGAGAAGAATTTCCAAGACACAAATGCATTTTTACCAATGCACTGCTGCTTCCACTGTGTGACTGACACCGCCAACTTTAACATGACGTTTACATCGCTCTTATTGCGCACGTTCTGTTTGGGTTTCCGGCAATGAGTGGAATTACCGAAGTAAAAAAATAAATAAATGGAATGTAGCACAAAATGTGAAAACAGGAAAATACCACCTTATAATCCACTTATTTCAGCAAAGTAACTGTAATCCAATTACCACTCATTGAAACAGTAACTGTAACGGAATACAGTTACTCATAATTTGTACTCTGATTATGTAACAGCGGTACATGTAATCCGTTACTCCCCAACACTGTTAATAGCTCACCTGTTTGGAGAACTTTTGACCATTCAAAAAATAAAATATGTTGTTTTGATCATTTTTGTTACATTGTGAGACGCCAGCGAGATGAACATTAACACATTATTAATCTGGGACGACTCTCCAGAAAGAGCTGAGAAATCAAACTTTAGTAAAATCCAGTCAAGAGAAAACAACAGAAATCTTACTCTCCACAAATGCACAAAGCGCTTCCCTCTGCACCATTTTCACAGACAAAATAGTCTGTATTTCTGCTAAAATTGTCCATGTCACCTCTTTCGTTCTTTCTTTTGTTTTGCTTCATTTGGGCGCTTCACTTTTGACTCCGCCCAAACCACAATGCTGCGCTGTGATTGGCCTGCTCATCCAGTGGCTGCAGTGATGTCACATGACCGCAGCCTTAAGACCACAGCAAAAACATGCATCATCTCACAGCTCTTAACCTCACAGCCCTGTTATTTGCAGCAGTCGAGTTTCTGGTGCCTGCCCACGCTGTCTCTGCGGGTGAACCTGCGCCCGCACCTGTGGCAGTTGTAGGGCCTGGCACCCGTGTGGACGCTCTGGTGCGTGATCAGGCGGGCTTTTCCTGTGAAAGTCTTTCCGCACTGATTACACCTGAACCCCGCCAACTGCCCCGTTGACGAAAACAGCTCCTGATTCGCGCTCAGAAGAGAGTCCAGCGGCGGATCTGCGTGTGGAAGATGAGAGAAGTCTGTTTCTTGAGAACTGTACATGAAACTCTGTGATGTGTCAGAGCTGTTCCTGTCATCTGAATAGGCGCCAGTAGCAGTAATAGTAGCACAAGTATTGGACGCAGTAGTATCAGAAGTAGTACACTGAGGAGATCGGAGAGGAGATGTAGCAGTTAGAAAATCTGTTGGCTCCCATTTCATTTCATCATTAAAGGCGTCGTCTTCTTCTTCTGAGAAAACAAAAACAAAAATATTATACAAATGTCTGCAGGTCATATCAAGCTTCATTTACCATTTAGAGATGCTAGGATTCATACATTTTACAGTTTAAAAACATAAATTTCAACCAAGATAACGTAATCCAATAAGGTTCATTTGGTCTTCTGATAATTTATGTTTTATTAGGCTCTATTTTCACATCACAGCAACATCACGTGACCACTCTGAGGAAGACCGCTAGTGAGCAGTCCAAACTGTCAGGTATGAAAACAAACATTTGGTCTGAAAAAAGAACCTAATAACATACAAAGTAACATAATATTTGATTTGAATCTTTGTTTTAATGTCAAGGAATGCAAAGTCTGTTCACATTTTCTGCTAAATGTTTTGTTATCCATGGCAGTAATATACAATGTTACTTATTAAAAGCTGTTTCATTCAGAACACACATGGCATTATGAATTTGCAAGTAGGGCTGGGTATTAGGGGTGTGCAAAAATATCAGAATATCGATATATCGTATAGTTTAATGTGATGATACAGTATCGATATCATGGGCTACTGTATCGATATATCACCAAGAGTATTTTTAGGTGTGTTTTACTAAATTATTTTGTTACAGAGCTACAGTTTGTTGCTTGTGGAGTGAAAGGAAACTCATTTATGCGACACATTTGATATTTTTACTGTTTTGATGATTAAAATGTTTATGTTTCATGTGAACTTTGCACAAGAAGTGGTTTAACAAACACTTTTTGTATCACAGCCATAATTTAGCATTTATTTTTATTGAACCGTATCAACCGAATCGAAAGTGCACTGTATCGAAATATGTATCGTATCGTGGCCTGTGTATCGAGGTATGTATCGTATCGGCAACTTCTTAATGATACCCAGCCCTACTGGGTATCATTAGGAAGTTGCTGATACGATACACAGTCAACGATACAATACATAACAGTGCACTTTTGATTCGATACGATATATTTCAAATTGATTCGATACGGTTCAATAAAAATAAATGCTAAATTATGGCTGTGATACAAAAAGTGTTTGTTAAACCACTTCTTGTGCAAAGTTCACATGAAACATAAACATTTTAATGATCAAAACAGTAAAAATATCAAATGTGTTGCATAAACAAGTTTCCTCCCACTAAAAAAGTAACAAAACTGTAGCGCTGTAACAAAATAATTGAGTAAAATATACCAAAAAATACTCTTGATATATCGATACAGCAGCCCACGATATCGATACTGTATCATCAAATTAAGTGACATATCGACATTTTTGCACACCCCTATTTGCAAGACAAAGTGATTTATTTATATATGGAACTGGATTTAGATTTTGGAACTGGCAACCCAAATGAGAAACTATTTCAGCTTTCTGATCATTCTAAAAACTAAAACAAATTATACCATACAACTAAAAATGCAGTACCTTTAATTTGGTAGGTTAAATAGCATTTTACTGATTCTGTAATGGTCACTAATCATTTAACTTTGTGTACAGAATCATTAGATTTTGATGTATATACAAATTAGACGCTGTTTTCTCTCACCTTTGGTCCACACTTGTTGGCAGGTCTCGGTCTGGATCTCGGGCTGGATCTCGGTCTGACTCTCGGTCTGGGTCTGGATCTGTGTCTCAGTCTCCTCCGGTTTTTCCTCCTCCCCGGGGCTCCCAGCCGCCTCCTCCCGGGCTCTGAGCTCCTCCACAGCGGCTCGCAGCTCCAGTATCTCCAGGTCCCTCTGCTCTATGTCCCGCTCCTGGTCTCGGATCTTCCGCTCTCTGTCTCGGAGCTCCAGCCTCAGCTCCACAACCCGATCTTCCACCGCAGCGGTCACTCCAGCCACTAGCGCCTTCAGCAGAGCCTCCATGACGGCCGTGAGCTGCGAGCCGAACGCAGCCGGGAAAGGCATGCTTTTCTCGAGCAGAATAATCACGGTAATAAACACGGTAAAACTCCAAAGCTCTGTTTACAACTCTAGTTTCTGCGGTTTCCCGTTGTTAACTTCCGGAATAGCGTCTTCTTTGTTGGTAGCCACTGCAACCAATAGGAACCGACCAAAGACATAAAACGCTAGATGTCTCGTTCAACCTACGCGTAAATACCGCCGCCATCTTGGTACAGGGGTTCCATGGTCTAAGGCAGTGTTTTTCCAAACTTTTTTTTTATTTCTGGGGACATTTTTTTAAAGTCACAAACCTTCGCAACCCAAGTCAATAGATATTATTCATAAACCTCAAAATAAAGATGGATTTGAGCATTACTGAACATTAATGAGGATGCTGAAGATGATTGTTGACAGTGATCATGTCTCTGAACAATTAGCATTACTCAAGTTTGAAACAATGAAAAACAGTAATTGAAAGGATCCATAAAGTCGCCTATTTGGACATTAAATGTAGACCATATCTTTTTCTTTTCAACATTCAACACTGAACCAGAAATACTGGAACAAAATTGTCTGTAGAACTATATATTGCAGACCTACATGAAGATCGTGACAAGGCGCCCTCAATAAAATCTCTTGCGACCCAGTCTTTGGGAAACGGTGGTCGAAGGCATAGACTGCATATAGACTGTATTTATATATGGTCTAAGGTAATGTTTTTCCACAGTATCAGCGAGCGAAGATGCCGCACAAAAGAGCAAGGAATAACATTTTTAGGTACGATGTTATTTTGTAGACCTATGATACTAAATGTTCTGTTTTGAACCCAAATTGACTCAGCCCAGGGTTAAAAGTCTGGGAGTCCCTGCTTAGACTACTGCCCCCATGACCCAGCCCCGGATAAGCAGAATGAAAATGGATGGATGGACTTTGGTAATTTGACTTTTTAGATTTGTAATTTATCCAATGTGGAAAAAAAACTTCAAAGATACAGTAATTAATTCGACATAAAATCTATAGACCAGTGCAGTGTGTCACATATATACAGTATTTTTATATGTTAATTCAAACTCTTTTTTTCAACAAAATACATTATTTTCTTGTAGAATTCTGCTCTTCTTGCAATTACAAGATGGCCGCCGCAAAGACCACAGCACAATTTCATTGGACCTCTAGGTTTATAAATGCTCCATTGGCCACAGTGAGACAAGCACATGCTGCCATCTGCTGTTCAATTTAATATAGAAATTTCACCACTCTTGATTTTCGCTGTTATTTGTATTTATTTATTTACCACTGGTTTATCTGCTTGATAATTTTCATTTCAGCTATTTATTTTGAATATTCCAAATATGTTGTTATTACATTCATTCAAACATAGTTACATAAAAGACAAAGATTTTTAAATAAATATCCAACCGTTTTGTCTTGGCCCTCAGGTTTCTGACAAACAAGCCAAATATCAAAAATTTCGTGTATTCTGTTGAGGATCTAAGCATGAATAAAGGTCTGGTGTCTCATTCTAACCCGTTATAAACGCACATATTTGATTTATTCACTACAGCGCCCACCAGTCTGGCCTTTAATCGGACTTCTGCTCCATCTGTATTTTAATATCTGACCCTTGATGAAAAAAACATCCCTGAACGAGCTAAATGAAAAGTGTTAAGAGTATCTGTTTAAAAGTCAAATGTGTACTCTGCCCATTACATCAGGAGCTCCCATTATCCACAGACATCCTGCTTCAGGTGAGTGTCTGCGCTAATCCAGTTACCTTCAGACAAATGTAGAGATCCGGAGAGGAAATCCTACATTCAAACGATGCAGTGATAGCAGCTGACTCTGTATGTTGATCACTCTTGGTGACTGGTACATTTGTTTTCTGGGGCTTCAAATAGGTTCTAAAGCTCAAAGAGAACACAAAGACAGGCCTGTCCAAAATAATCCTGCTCAAAGTGTTCGGACACAAAGAAGAAACTGCTGTAATATGTCTAAAATTAGAATTGATATTTGCATAACAGTATTGATACCACATTGAGTCAGTGTCGATATATCGATATCTCAATATCGATACCTCCATCCCTTGCTTAAACTACTGGGGAATATTTCCAAAGTTTTATGCACAAAGAAGGCTGCTTTGGGTGAGATCCATTCACATCTTTATCCGCTCTCTTGGCAAAGCAGGTTTTCAGTACAGTGTGATATATTTTCTGCATGTTTTTGTGTAGTTTATAGTGTATTTGATAAATTAGTCTTATGGTCCATATTGCTAGAAGTGCAATAACATATTCTATCTCAGGGGTGTCAAACATAAGACCCTCCAAGACCTTTAATCTGGCCCTCGGCTGATTTTCTACTAAAATATTTTAATTATATTTTCTATTAAAATATTGTTAATTTTCTGCGCCGCTTAGCATAGCAGCGTCTCCAGCGCCTCTGTGCGTGGCCCCTCCCACCAGAGCAGCACAAATGAAGACTTGTCTCTTTCCAAATACTCTTAAAGAACGATCGTTTTGACTGTTGAAATTACATTTAAAATACACATTTATGTCTTGAAAACAAATGTACAAAACACTTGTAAAAGCACAGAGACAAACTTATATGTGGCAAAAACACAAATGCAAACCTCTGAAACACATAGACCAGGGGTGTCCAAACTTTTTTCATCAAGGGCCACATATCCAAACACAGAAGAAGCAGAGGGCCAATCAAGGGCCGTAGACTGATGCTCAGTACTGTGAATAATTGAAATCTGTGCATATTTAACACATTAGAATGAGCCATCAGTCTTTATTCATGCTAAGATCCTTAAAACCACACACTAAATATTAAATATCAGCTTTATCCAGGTAGATTCTCATAAAACTTGGAGTAAAAAATTATTTTTTAATTGACGCAAGGTCATTTGGGCCAATTCACCTGGAAGTCTGAGGGCCAAGAAAAATGTGTCTGAGGGCCACATTTGGCCCCCAGGCCATAGTTTGGACATGCCTGACATAGACCTTTTTCACAAGGGCTGGAAGTGCCACAATGTCGGGGAAACATCACTTATGTTAATGCTTTTCTATGGCAAAATATCTGTGGAAAAGTTTGGCGTATTCTCCAGCAGCTCAACAAATTTTCAACCAACAAGGTCCACAAAGAATAAACATTCTTCCATAAAGAATTAATCCACAACTATCAGGGGAAGAAAGAGGAAAACAAACAACGACGATGCATTAGTGAACTACTTCTGAGCAAAATTAACCTTACGGTCGTTGGTCATTTCCGCTTTTTAGGACATTCCCTTTCCATCAAGAACTTTCTTGTTCTTTGTTTCAGGGGGGGGGGTTTATTTGTGTTTTTACCATATGTAAATTTGTCTTGGCACTTGTACAAATGTTTTGTGTTTTGTAAATTTGTTTGCTCATTTGCAAATGTATTTTATGAAACTTGAAATTTGTTTTCAAGATGTAAATGTGTATTTTAAGTGTAATTTTGTTTTCAAACTTGTTAATGTGTTGTGAAATGTAGTTTTCTGCACTTGCCAGCCAACGGGAGTGTAAACTACAGCTGAGACAAAAAAAGACGTGAGAAAATGTGTCGGAGGGAGTTCTCCATGTGACGAGGACACACGCTGGAACGTGAGAGACAAAAGACCAGATCTGACATTTAGGACATTTAGGATGATTTGGAGACAGCATTTCTGAAAATAAGTCAATGATTTTAATGTTAAAATTGCATTAAGACCTGATGAAATTTAATTAGACTACATTATTTAACATTGTTTTATTTGCGATTATGTTGTTTAAAGTGGTGCTATCAACAAACGTTAGCCTAGCCAATTAGCTGCACAGTTTTGCTAACTAGCTAGTAGCTGCAAGCACATGGTCAGGGTGAAGCAGCAGTCAGCGATCACTGTAAGGTAATTAACAGTTTTATTTCTTCAGTGTATTTTCAAATTATCTTCTATCCAGTTGTAGATAAACATTTTCCACCTATTTGCTCAAATTCAAGATGTTTTACGGTTAAATATTACGGAAGCTGAGAGGGGTCACAACAAACGCAAACGCCGCAACAAATACAAATGCGACAACACAACAAAAAGCCACAACACACCAAAAAAAGCCACAACAGAAATGACCGTGGGACTCTAATTTATTGCAAATGCGGTCATTTGTTGCGGCGTTTGCGTTTGTTGTGACCCCTCTCAGCTTCCGTAAAAGATACTGTCAGAACTGTGAGTAAAACAAGTCAAAATTCTAAAACAAAAATCGATATTATTTAAGATGTTTTAGTCTTAGTTCAGTCCGTGTCGTAGGCAGCGCAAAAGTTTGTTATAATCTCGGGTTAACGGGCAGGTGCGGTCCTGTAAAAATAACAACAGGATGACAGCAGCAATAAGTTTTAAGAAGGATGTAAAAAGGGTTGCACCTGCCCTGTCTGAGAAAAGTGTATAAAGTTTGTGGTGAGGGGTTTTACAGACTTAAAACAGATACAAGGGAACACTGTACTCTCACCTCCCAACCTGTGCACATGGTCTCCCACTTGTCCCGACCGGGATGGAAAACGGAGAATTTCTTGCACAAGTCATTGTTAAATGCACATTTGTGCTTTGGTATTTTGCAGGCTGACCGACTGTTTGTGTCTCTCGCTCCTTCTGAGTCACAGACGCTACGAGAGACGCTCAGTTTAATGACTCCAATGAACGGTACTGAAAACCCGGGCATTTTGCATAATATATATATATATATATATATATATATATATATATATATATATATATATATATATATATATATATAAAAAACGGACGTCCAGGACAGGACGCAAAATACGGACATGTCCGGGGAAAAACTGATGTTTGGTCACCCTAGTTTATCTGAACAGGGACAATGCACATTTCTGGGGTCAGTAAACTTTCAGAAATATTCGTGTGCATAGGATAGAAATCCGTGCATATTTCTCTGTAGTTGAGCATAAAATAAATATTTGTAAACTCTCAAATGAGTGCAGTCGTACATAAAATGTGTTGTGTGTATTTTATCCATCAGAATACAAATGGAAACCACAACATCAAGAATTACCATCACCAAATGAAAATTTATGATTACGTTTTCTTCAGTACGAATACAAATTCACAGACGCGATTCGACTGTCAAAAATACATCATCATGTAACAGGCATTATTTATTGAGCAGAAGAAGTATCGATTGATATGGACTAAACCAGGACTAGAGCAGGTCTAAACCAGATCCAGCGTTTCCCACAGCACTTTATAGTTAGAG